TGCACAGCTTCTATGGGAGGGCGTAAATTACCATAATGAATCAAAGTATGTGACATGATTGTTGTTTTTTACGTATGCAGTCCAGTGGGATCCAACACCTGATGAATTATCTAAATTAATAATACCGCATTTTTTAGCTCTAATTCGATGCGTTAAATCATCTCTCATGAAAACTCCGCTAAATTTTGGAATTATCAGTTGTTTAGCCAATTGAAGTAACTCTATATTAGTAAGAGCATGACGAGGGAGTTTTTTAGCGGTTTTTTATAAGGTGCCAAATATAACCCTTTTCCTTGTTTAGATTGTTCTAACGCTAGGTTGTGACGTTTTTGTTCAGTCAGCTGAGCCTGATTGGTTTTCGCATCCGAGACTGCTTTGGCAATTGACGACGCTCCACCCCCAAGTGCACCTAGCGCACCAAGTAGGGGAAGGAGGATAGGTAAGAATCGCCCTTTTTTAGGTATCGGTAAAAGTCTCGACTTTTATGTGATGCGTCGTTTTTTTTACGGAGACCTTGTCCGCTTATTACTTTTTATCGCAATCCTAAAATGCGTTGTGGCTTGCGAATACGAGAAGAAAACTTTTTTCGACTCATGCCACTACCCAATTTCTGCTTCATCTTCATGACAGCTGAGACACCCAGTGCAGCTACTTTTTCACCAAGCGATGAATCCGATGCAGCAACCCGCTTGAGGGCGTGATCAATTAAGAAGTTATCGGCTTTACGACGAATGTCACTTTGTTTGGAGGTAGCGTAAACAAGATCGTGCTGCTTACAGGCCTCGTCTAAGCGATTAATTCCTGTATATTCCTCTGAATGCGTTGCTTTAAATTTGTTCCAGGTCCACAGAAATTATATCACCGGGATGTGCAATTCAAGTGGTAGTTTATCGATAAGTTTATTTATGAAACCCGTACCACGCACTGTAACGGTCAGTTTGTGACTGTTTCTCCTCGCACGACAAGCAGTCATTTTATATGCTCCTATCAAGTAACGGTTCTCAGATATATAGTAGACTGTGCTAGAAGTATTGATGTCAGTACAATTTATAGGCTATCAGAATGAAGATCGAACCATCAGCCGTACAAGTACCTGTGACGAATTTTGATGGACTTGCACAGGAAGGGGCGCTTAGAAAACATGGTAACCTGTTCAATGGTACGTCTAAGCGCGCGTTAGTTTTAGGCCCAAGCGGATCTGGAAAAACTAATGTAATGATCAGTTTGTTAACACATCCTAATGGATTGAGATTAGAGAACGTTTATCTGTACTGCAAGTCGCTGTACCAACCCAAGTACAAATATTTACGAGAACTAATAACACCGCTTCGCGAAATAGGGTATTATGAATACAGTGAAGATGAAAACATTGCGACATAAGAAAACATTAAACCAAACTCCGTAATAATTTTTGACGACGTTTCATCATGTAATCAGGATATAATAAGACAATATTTCAGTTTTGAAGACATCGTAATACAGATTGTTTCTATATTTGTCAAACGTATACTGCCGCACCCAAACATAACTTAAGGGATAACATAAACCTACTCATACTATTTCTTCAAGACAATTTGAATCTGAAACATATCTATGATGATCATATCAGCCTAGACATGTCTTTCAACGAATTTAAAAGCTTGTGCAGTTTGTGTTGGCAAAAACCACATAGCTTTGTAGTGGTTGATAAAGATTCTCCAAGACAGGGAGGCAGGTATAGAAAGTGTTTTAGCAGCAACATAAATTTGTAACAGTAATATATATATAACTATACTCTGTGCAAATCTTAGGGTAGTACTTATATAACATCGCAGGTAGTCAGATGGATCAAAAACTGGCCAAAGAACTAGTCAAAACCAGGAAAGCGGTTAAACAAAAGTATCTCACAGTTAAATCAGATATTGCAGCAACGGAAAGGGAATTACAGCAACAGTTTAAGCCGATCTCAGAACCGTTTCAAAAACTCTTATCAAAAGTTGAAGGACTTAAACAAGAATTGCAGATCAAAGAAGAACAATCTACACCCCCATCAGTGACATCCACACCGAAGAAACGACAATCATTCAATAAAGAATTGTCAGAAAATTTATACCAGCGATATTTACCACCTGTCAACTACAGCTTTCTCGAGGATGCATATTCAAACCTCCCGGAGCCACATCGCAGTCAAGATGTATCTACGGTTGAAGAACTTACTCCAAATGCTACGGTGTTTGAGACAGAAAACCAGCAAATCAATGAAAGCGTGGCTCGAGTGGCGCAAGAATTCCACCAACTAATTGATACACCTGCATATCAAGAGTATCTTGAAGGCTTTCACCCTGTACCTCGAAAATATGTTGAAAAGTCAATTCGTGGGAACGAGCGCGAGTTTGATCGTTATTATGGATTAACACATGATATTGTTTCTGACAAGTTTCAACTCGGTAAAAGTCCGGTTACGCTAGACGGAGCAAATATCGTGGTGGAAAATGTAACATATCCTGGCACACCTGGATTATATGAACTGCTTTTCAAAAAAGTACCAATTGGTTATAAGCAGAGTGATCTAGATCAGTATATGGATATGCTACGTCGCACAAACGCATATCGCAGAAATTTTGAACCTGATACTCAAATACATGGTAGTACGTCCTACAAATATCGAAATATAATTCGACCATAACATTCTAAAGCAGCAGCGCATACTCAGGTCCGGCTCCTTTGAGAAACCTCCACCTCCTAACAGTCAGTTACGACGAACACACTCATTCAAACAAACAGGTCAAGAAATGCTCCACTTATCAAATAAACCAATCGACTACATCTATTTTGATGATCCAAATGAATTGGTTGCTCGTTTACGTTTGTTGTTAGCTTCACAGTATGCTGGTAATAATGGACATCGTAACGAGATTATGTCTATAATTGAGGAGTTATGTGAATTAAAAATTATAAAATGAATTTGTAACGTAATATTACTTTATTTACATTGCTGCAGTTGTAGGATCAAGATGCCAATTGATAAATTTGGAAGACATATGCTCCGCTCAAAGAAGACGGACACTGCTGCAATCTTCAGTACTTTTCTAAGATCCAACCTATCTAGCGTATGTGTGGTACCCATTTATTCCTCCACATCCAGCGAGCAGTTTTACACATTTAACGACAAAAGCAAGGACTATATCGTTCATGTGACTGGGATAGTTGATAGTATAAATGTTCCGCCAAAATTAAGAGTGACAATTGGTTTAAATAGTCTCACCGACAACACACCTCTCACGAAAGGTGATATTCTCCATTTCTTCACATCTAAAGAACCCAGACCAGAGCAGCTTATAGCAAATATTGTAATGCGCTGTCCATTGATACAACAATGATGGACTTTAAAAAGCAGGTTGTTGAAGAACTTCATAAAACAGCTCGCCGAAATTATAGACGTCGGCGCGTTATTGTGAAGGGGGTCAACGATCTCCTGCAGGCAGATTTGGTGGAAATGCTTCCGTATCAGAAAGTGAACAAAGGATTCCGATATATTTTAATTGTCATCAACGTTTTTAGTAAATTTGTGTGGGCAGAACCAGTCAAACGAAAAACCGGAAAAAGATGTTACAACTGCAATGAGGGCGATTCTGTCGCACATGAAGTCAATTACAAAAAAATTACAAACAGACTTGGGTAAAGAATTCTACAATAGTGATTTTACGAAGTTGATGGAAGAGTACAAAATTAATCATTACAGCACCTACTCATCGACCACAAGCAAGTGTAGTTGAAAGGGTGTACCTCACTGAGGGAGAGTACCTACTCTGGATGTCGGCATAAATGACGTATGTCACGCACGTTTGACTCACCCCCTGTATAAAACATTCTTGACCCCCCCCCCTGTACACTACACCTTACTATCATTATCACAACCGTACGCGAACACAACAACACCGATAAGGTCGACCACAGTGAACCACTATCTACTTTTGTGGACACTGGTACGATGCAGGTGCGGCGGATCGATACTCAACAGCATTCAGTAAAACATTTGCAACGACTCGTTCTAGCTAAGTGGTAGAGCGTTGGCTTTGCACGCAAGAGGTCCCGAGTTCCAAACACACGCCGTCCACTGTTTTTCTATTTCAGGTACATTTCATCCGTAGCATCTGTTTGCGAGATGCAATTACTTATTACGTCACTGGTACGATGCGTGTGCCTTGGCACTTATCAGCCTTCAGTAAATCATTTACAGCGATTCGTTCTAGCTCAGTGGTAGAGTGCTGGCTTTGCACGCAAGAGATTCCGAGTTCGAAACATATGCCGGCTGCTGTTTTTTCTGTTTCAGGTATATTAGCAATAACTATTCATTCATTGTACCTACCAGCAAGTATAAGATCAATGACCCTTCACACAAGCAAGGATGCTGCCTCTTTCCCCAGAATCAATAAATCATCAGAATCAATAAATCGCCAGAATCAATAAATCACCAGAATCCATAAATCACCCACACATCAAAGGATGCCGCCCACGCATCAAAGCATGCCGCCCAGGCATCAAAGGATGCCGTCTTTTCCCACGGTCCACATAATTTTCCCACGGTCCGCAAAATTTTCCCACACTCAAGTCCGTATATCATAGGTTTCATCATTTCCCATATCGCACATACCACCCACGCATCAAAGGATGCCGCCCAAACATCAAAGGATACCGCTTTTTCCCACGGTCTGCAAAATTTTCCCACGCTCAAGTGACCCTTACTCTACTAACGTTTCTTCACACTACCGCAAAAGAACGCTATAAGCCAAATGGCTGCTGATGATCATGTCTACATTTCAAGTATAATATAAAAAGCAATAAACAGCACCGAATACGCTCCTGAGTTTTACACCAGATTCATGATGGCCAACGCTACAGATTTTTATTCAATTCGGTAGACGTCAAAACGGTCTGATTACTCGTGAAAAATACTATATGTAGCACATAACTTGTTGTGTCGAGGTTATATTTTCATTGGCTTGTGCTTGTATATGTAGGTGGTGGAACGAAAGACGACAACTCAACACCTTCTATTATTGACGAGAAGGTATTAGCCGTGCTGGGGCCTTCCTGCGTCGGTCTCGAAAACCCTTTTGACGGTGATTCGTCCGTGTCTTTGGTGAGTCACTATTTCTTTCCTAATTTTCTTGTTGGTATTGCTTTTAACCTAAGGTGTAATGGAACACCCTCATTACTTTCAGAGTGGAGAACAATGGGAAGAAGTGGAAGTGGTGGAAGTCCAGCAGGTGCCGGCATTTTTTGTAGAAGAGGCCAAACCACCAGTAAATTCTGAGGGGCCACAACCATCTACAACATCAGCAGGTTCATCCTCAAGCGGTGGTCACAAATGGGAGGAATATCAGCCTAAGCACCTGATTGAGAAAGGATTTGGGTTTAGAGTAGAATGGATGAAAGGGAGGCACCCAAGCACTACACTTCACTTTTTTATTTGAATTCTCAGTATCTGTGGGGCAAGTGCATCCCCTTTTTGTTCTTATGAAGTTTGTTTGGATCTATATTTGTTTGATTCAGAGAAAATGAAAGGGTCTTTGCGCTTGCACTTTACTGGTGAGACATTACTCTTTTCTGTTTAATTATTTGCATTACCTTCATAGAATAAGGTTTACTGTGCAAGTGAAAAGTTTCTCATTCATGATTTACTCTACTTCTATTTTTTTTAATTTTAAAGACTGAAACAAAAAATATTCTTGAGTATGGGTACACTTAACACTAGTGCCATGCTTATGTATATAAATCAGTATTTAAGGCTTTGATCTCATTGCGTTTTGAGTTTTGTTTTGAGTTAAGCTTCAAGGTAATACCCATTATCTTTTCTTGTTTTAAGTTGCGGTTGCCAAAGCTAAACTTCCTTTTGTTTTGCCTACGCCTAAGATTTATTTTTAGATTATTTCTCATAATTATTGTTAATTTATAGAGAGGAAGAAGACTACTACTATACTATGCTATACAATCAACTACACAATCTTTGAACATTTAACTTTATTCCTATTCTATTTACATTATACCAAAAATAGACAAATGATTTTGAGGCACTGTACACCAACTGTAACAGGATATCAATAAAAGTATGCTTACAAAAATTTCACCACATTCTCAATTATTCTGATTCCTGTGCAGAGTCCTGAAGTAGTCATTGATTAAAGGTTGTCTATAAGGGTCTGCTCCATGGCCATGCTCGTTTGGAATCAGGGGATTATCAATTCTTCCTTGATCAATGAGTGCATCCCATGGTACTGGAAGTTGCAATTCATTGTCATCAGGTGGAAGTGGATCCCCTCCCCTCTTTAGAATATTGTACAGCACAGCAGTGGCAATAATTATTGGTAATGCATTATCTAAACGAGTATTAATACCTAAGGCGAGTATGGGAAATCTGCGCTTCCATACTCCAAATATTCGTTCTATTGGATTTCTGGACCTGATTTGTGACTCATTATACAGGGTGGTCCATAAGTCCTTTGAAATTTCAAATTTGAATAAAATTTAACGGGTGAGCGTGAGCGGCGCGGGCGAGGTGGGGGCAGTATCTTCAGTGACTGGGAATTCAGTCGCCATGGAGTGTTTCACTGGAGCGGATCGTGCTTTTTGTGTGCGCGCGTTTTATCAAAATAATGATTCGGCAACCATTGCGCGGCGTAAATATCGAGAATACCACAATTTACACAATTTTACAAAGTGTCCAACAGCTCAAACGATTAAGAACTGGGTTGCTAAGTTCGAAGAGACTGGTTCGACGTTAGATAAACAGCGGTGGGGTCGACAAAGGACAACTCGTATTGAAGAAAACATCAACATTGTGGCACAGTCTGTTCGTCAAAATCTTACCCAGTCTACTCGTAAGCGTTCCAGTGCACTAAACGTACCCAGAACATCTTTACAGCGGATTTTAAGGAAAGATTTACGTCTGCACGCTTACAAAATTCAGTTAGTGCAGGAATTAAAAGATAATGACGCTATTCAGAGACTAAACTTTGCGAATGAAATGTTGAATCGATTTTCTTCGCTCAATAATGTGTTGTTCTCGGACGAGGCTCACTTCCATTTAAACGGGCATGTAAATAAACAAAATTGCCGTTATTGGAGCCCCGAAAATCCAAGGCGTAAGCATCAGAAGCCCTTACACAGCCCTAAAGTTACAGTTTGGGCTGCTATGTCAGTGCATGGCATCGTAGGCCCTTATTTTTTTTGAGGACGACAGAGGTCGCGCATTAACTGTTACTTCGGAGCGGTATGTAGCAATGATAGAAGAGTTTTTGACACCAGCGTTGCAGAATTTTCCAGGCTATAATACGCAGACCTGGTTTCAACAGGACGGAGCAACTGCCCACACCTCCAACACTTCTATGCCCGTCGTCTGTCAACTTTTTCCCACCAAAGTAATTTCTCGAAGAGGAGACATTTCCTGGCCACCACGTAGTCCAGATTTGACCCCAATGGACTTCTTTTTATGGGGCTAGCTCAAGAGTAAAGTCTACGACACCACTCCGCGATCAGTTGATGTACTGAAAGAAAATATCCGAAGAGAAATGGCAAGCATTACAGTGTTGACTTGCCGCGCAGTCATCGACAATTTTAGACGTCGTTTATATGAGTGCCGTGATCGTAATGGATTGCATTTAGACGATGTGATTTTTAAAACATAATTCCCATTCAATAAAGATGATAACAAAATATAATAATTCTTCATAATGTAACTAGTTTGGTTTTATTCCTTTTTTTCCAGCTCAAAGGACTTATGGGCCACCCTGTATAATATTTCCTCTGGTCTCGCTGGATTAGCTAGAGGTGTCATTAAATACTTTTTGGAAGCATATGCAGAATCACACAAGAGTATAGAATCTCCATATTCATTGTTTTCAAACCGAGTTGTCAAAAATTGTTTGGTCGTGGGTGCTGCGTGGCCACCTAGCAACAACATCAGTAAATTCTAAGTTAGCGTTACAAATTCCCTGACAGCTTATAGACATAAAACTTTTCCTGTTTCTATAGTACTCTGCATGGTCACCCCCAGGGGAACGTATTTTAATGTGAGTACAGTCCACTGCACCAATTACTTTTGGAAAACGAGCAATCACATAAAAGTCTCTTTGAGTCTGTTGTATTTCTGCTTTAGTTCTTGGAAAGTAAATGAACTGACGGTACAGGGAAGCAATAGCAGCTGTAACCCTGTGTATTATGCGGTGGGCGGTAGTATCACTGACACCACTGAAATCTGCTGCGGTCAATTGAGTGCAGCCAGTAGCGTAAAATCTCAAGCACAACAATAACTGGTTCATGGGTGAAACAGCATCATTTCTGAAAACAATACATATCAAGTTAATCTAACTTTGTGCATAAGGTGTTAATTTTTAAAGTTTAATATCAAATAACAAGGGAATGTTTGGAATGTCTTTCTTTGAAAAATATACTCGTCACAACTCACTTCTCAAACGTTGGAAATTCCAAACGATGTTCGATTAAAGTTAGAACTTGGAGGGCACTGTTCTTTGAAAGTCGAAATCTTCTACAAAAATCAACATCGTCTAGGTCTTCGAGATGATCTATCCTCTCTCGAATAAATCTCAATCGTCTCGCTGGAAGCTCCATATCTTTCTCATCGTCGCTACCTTCTAATAATAGGTTAAGGGCTGCTTCCATGTTGCATCGATCACTCCAGTGACCCCGGTAACTTCGCTATCTGCCTAATTCCCAACCGGATAACTTTTATCGGAGCGACAGCACTTTACCGGGCCGGTAACGCGTGGTGAAACGTAACTCTCGCTACCGGAGCGGAACTTGGCGGCGGTAACTTTATCGGGCCGGTAGGTGGTGTGGTGAAGTCGGCCCTAAGTAAATCAGGCAGACAACGTAAAAAAGTGAGCGAAGACTTGAATCAAGGGGTTGTAATTTTTTTCAATTCTATTCCTAAGATGGAGAGTCACTATTGTCGGGCTTCAAGCCAAAGATTATACTTAGAGCCAATATGGCAAAGCAAGCAAGACCTGTATAGGTTCTATAGTGAGCAATATGGTATTGAACAAAACGTCCCCGCTGTTTCACGTACATTGTTTAGCGAAAAAATGACTCAAATGAACATCTCCCTCTTCAGACCCAGAAAAGATCAATGCGACGTCTGTGTTGCATACAAGACCAAAACTATATCTGAATATGAACGACATTTAGTTCTAAAGGACGAGGCTAGAATGGCCAAGGATGCCGATAAATGCCAAGAGGATCTTGTTTTCACGATGGACATGCAATCCGTCTTACTAGCCCCGCTTAATAAAGTATCCACCATGTACTATAACACAAAGCTTGCTGTACATAACTTTATGATTTATAATATAAAAAATCATGAAGGTTATTGCTACCTCTGGAACGAGATGGAAGGTGGGCTAACTGCCAACGAATTCTCTTCAATTATAACGTCCTTTATTGAAACTGAAGTATTACCAAAAGTCGTGAATAAGCCGGTCAAAATTATTTTGTGGAGTGATGGATGCGTCGGACAAAATAGAAATAATGTTCTGTCTAATGCACTACTGAATTTATGCATTTTGCACAAAATAACAATAGAACAAAAATATCTTTTCAAGGGACATACACAGATGGAAGCAGATTCTATGCATTCCGCAATTGAAAGGAGAGTACGGAATAGGGACTTAAACCTTCCAGCAGATTACGTTTTACATTGTCTAAAAGCACGAACAGTCCCATTTCCATATCCTCCTGAGACCCAGTGTCCATTTAATTGGACACTCACGTTTTATTGTATATTTTCGCAAAGAACAGAATTACAGCGCCTAGTCCTCGGTACATTTTAGCGGACATACACGCCTACGTGGCAACGTCGCTGCAGCTTGGTTCAGGCGCATTTACTAGTGATCATCGGGACTATGAGCACGTGGTAAAATGGCATCACATTGGAGCTCCAAAATTGATGGTAAGTACTTAAAATTATGGAGTTAATACTGCATTGCTTGTAACTAACATGTAGCCTAATGTGTAATGCATGCATCTGAGTGTTTGAAATATTTCAATTTTTTTTGTTTTTGTATTAGGTGCCGAAAAGGTCTATGTCCATTTCAATGGACGTTGGATCAATAAGCCTACACTATTTTACCATTCTTGATTTTTTGCTTCAGCTATTTTCGGAAACAAGACTCATTTAATTCCTGGCCAAGATGATGAAAAATTGCTACAGTGTCTGGAACTGTCTGACCTGTCGGACTCTTACTCAGAAAACGAATATGAAGACATTGCGTCAGATGAAGATTTTCCTGATCTGAGACATGAAGACGAGGGTCCTTCAGTTCAAGATCCAGAAGCAGAACTACTATCTGAGAGTGATTCAGAAGATGAGCCACTGAGTAAACTGAGGAAGAAGCTCCTTCAAGAAAAATCTACCAATGACGGTAAGCAAGTATGGAAAAAGATGGGCATGTTTGTTCCTCCAGCTGTCAGATTTTCTGAGCCTGAAGACACAACCTACGAAAGGCGAGACTGGAAAATAGAAAATTACATCAGCATGTACTTTGGCGATTCTGACTTTATAGATATTTGCCACTTACAAACGTTAGATTCCTTCAGGAGAAAGGTAAGCCTATGAACTTGACAGCCGAAGAAGTGAGACATTTTTTTGGTATTTCAGTTTTGATGTCTTGTCTTAGAGCTCCCGCAGACTTCCAATTTCAGGTTGGCCAACTAAATTGCACTGTAAGGGCCCCCGCAGACTGCAGACTTTCTATCGGCCGATAGTTTGGTCGGCTTGTTAATCAGTATGGAGAGTTATGCGTATGCGCACATTACAACGATTCAGTATCGGCCGATAAAAAAGTTTGATGGGCTTCCCTATTTCCTTCAAACTGATCTGTCGGCCAACTGTCGGCCGACTGCTTAATCAGTATTGGCTAACTTCCACGTGCGCACACACGACGATTGTTCAATCGGCCGATGGCTCAGTTCGCTCCGGCCACTGGCGTTGGACAGTCGTTTCGTGCGTATATTTTTAATATGGCATCGCCAAATTCACAATCGTTGATTGTAGAAACGTCCATCGTACAGTTGATTGAAGAAGTCGAGAAAAGACCTGCGCTTTATAAAAAAACTTTAAAAGAGTACTCCGACGCAAATCTCAAGAAAAAATTGTGGGAGGAAGTTTGTGAAGCAGTTGTTCTTGGTTGGAATCACCTTAATGCCGAGGACAGAACAAACAAAGGTACGTAACGCTTCATGTGAATTTTTATTTATGTACGTAGGTGTAGCTGAATATTTATTACATTTGTTATTACATTAATTACTACATTATTACACTTTGTTATATTGACACGGAATTGCGCCTCCAGGAGAAATAAAATATGACGACATGTACTGTCGCACGTTATTCATATTATTTCTTCCTCGGTTGTTTTCATTTATAGTCAAGTTATCCATGGGACAGCTGTAGAGAGTTTCTGTAAAATTTAGTCCATCTTTGGTTCTTACATAATTATGCAGGACACAGCAAGCTTTAATAATTCGGACACAAAAAGTGATATTGACATCTATTGGTCGGTGAAAAATACGCCATTTGTTAGCGAGAATCCCAAATGTACACTCAACCATTCGTCGAGCTCTTGTATGTCTGGACCATCTGCTTCCACCCCTATTCGTCAGCGGAAGAAGAGGCCTAATGTATCGAAGCATACGGACTTGGATGAAGCATTATTAAAATCATTAAATGCACCAATGCTGATGAAGATGTAAACTTTGCTTTGTCTCTAGTCCCTTCACTCCAAAATTTAACCGCAGAAGAAAAACTGGATGCTAAAATAGGTATTCTGAACGTGTTTAAACAGATAAGACTAGCTAGGTGTGTTCAATCTACTCAGCCAACATATAGGTACAACACAGTACAGCAACCTATGTCCTCTTTTCCTCTTTATCGAGGGACTAACAACATGCCACCACAACAACAATCACAGGCTTATACAACTAGGTCTACACCATCCCCCAATTTGCCACCCACAACCATTCAAAACATTTCATCACCAGGCAACTCCAACGAGACAGTCCAGTCATATTATTCAAATTTTTCAACTAATTCGCAAATATACGATCTGTAAACAACTTAATCTCTCAAAATACCGAATTTTGTAGTTTGCATTCTAATAAAAATAATTGAAAAGTATTTGTGGTTTATCTTACCTTATCGTAACGCTCAATCTCTCCTCCACAGGTATAGAAAGCCTTAAATTTGTATCCTCCTTCGCTATTGCTGGTCCAATTAGCTTGACAAGTTCATTGAAGCTGGTTATGCTCATTCGATAAAAGGCAAAAAAATTTCTCGGATAATCCAGTAATTTGGAATGCATTGTGTAAAATTTTCCAGCAACTAATCTATCACTGAGAATGGGATGCACCCAGTACTCTCGGAATATTTTCTTGATTTTCCTCCTACGTTGTATCAGAGCAATAATAACATTTCTGGACAATATTGTATTTACTTTCATTGTAGACAGCTACTTCAACAGTCAGATACAAACTAGTGAATCGTAAATAGCTTAAGAATCATCGGCCGACTGTTGGCTAGTATGCGCACTCTCCACCAACCAAACTGTTTAGTTGGCTCGGCGTGCGCACTGGCAGCCCAACCCGACTAAACTATCGGCCGATAGAAAGTCTGCAGTCTGCGGGGGCCCTAAAGCAATAGAACAGTAACTTAATGATAGCGCGCACATCTTATCCAATTAAATCGTCCAACTAATCGTATCAGAACCAAGATTCCCACCCAATTAAAATGTTGTCCAACTATCGGCCGACTGTTTATTAGCCACTATAGCCTATGCAAGCCCGCCGACTATCCAACTTAGTTGGTCAGTCGCACGGCAAAATGCAAGAGGACCACATGCGTGCGCGTGTTTCTCCGGCGCCGCCGCCGGCCCCCCGATCATTTATTGCAAATGAAAAAGTGGAAGAGCTCATAGATGAAGTGTCAAAAAGGCCAGCGTTATACAAAAAAGATATGAAGCAATACTCTGACATTAATATTAAAAAAAAATTATGGGAGGAAGTGTGCGAAGCACTAATAAGCAATTGGGGAAAACTCAGTGCGAATGAAAGAAAAGATCAAGGTGAGTCAAAAGTTTATTTTATGTTCTTTTATGTGGTAGGTCTACACTTTATCATATTGAAACGGAACAGATCCATGGGGTTGAACAAAGTAAGATGTCAGATACTGCCGAACATTTACACCGTTTGTGATATTGCTTCCCCTATTGTTTTCTGAGTGATGATATCCATCCAGAGGACATTCGTACAAAGTATCCTTAAAAGTTATTCCGTCTTTTGATCGAACGTAGTTGTGTAGAATATAATCTTAACGGCAAAATTTATATGGACATTTATAGGACGATGAAATATACGCCACTTATTTGCCAAAATGCCGAACGTGCATTCCACTAATCGACGTGCTCGAGTATGTCTGTAGTTAAATATACGTTTTGCGTAGTTCAAATTTTTCTTAGAGTACGGACGTAATATGTGACTTGAAAGACCAAATGCTTCATCACCGACAACGCAAAATGGCATGACAGGCCCGTTATCTTCATTAGGGAAGGGTTTTCCACTGGGAATGTTAAGTTTGTTTTCAATTAACATCTTCCCATCTGTGATGACTGAAATATCTCAGAATCACTACTGCTTCCGTAGGAACCTACATCAATATGGACAAACTTGTAGTCAGCATCGGTCCAAGCCATCAAAACGCAAGAAAAAATTTCTTGTAGTTAAAAAATGAAGTTCCAGATTTTTGCGGTTGAATGATTCGTATGTGTTTTCCATCTATCGCTCCTATGACGTTTGGAAAGTTTGTACGTTCATAGAACTCATTAGCAATTTGAATCCAATCTTCTTCAGTCTTTTCAGGCATATATTGGGAATGAAGTACATTCCATATTTGCTCACAAGTAGATTTCACTATATCTCTGATTGTAGATTCACCAATTAAGTAGTCAAACGAAAGTTGAGACAAGTATGCCCCTGTTGCTAAATACCTGCAACAAAAAAATTTATAATTACAAACAGTTTATCGCAACAAAATATATGTTGTGGACGTTGTTTTGAAATAAAATCACCTGTATTAAGGTGTTCCGACACGGACAAACAGTTTGATCCAAACACGTAGTTTTCTACATTCTCTCTGGCAGTTTCCACGCAGTTTATGATAGTTCACAAACATTAATTCAGTCATTCATGTGTGACTGGGATGAAATATACAGTAGCATACGCAAGTGAGTGAACGCGCATCAACAAATGCCCTAGAGAACAAAGGAAACTACGTGTTTGATCAAACCGATTCGACCGTGTCGAAACACCATTAGTGTTAATTATGAAATTAATAAAATTATTCCCAATAACTAATTTTTTTTTTTAGGTCATGACATCCAAAAAAAATGGAACAATTTGCGGACCTGCTTCGCTAGAGAACTTAAAGCTCAAAAGTCTGTTAAATCTGGACAAGCAGCTCCTAAACGACGACCATATGTTTACTTTGAGCGCATGTTGTTTTTGGCCCCTTGTATGCAATCACGGCCTACTGAAGGCAGTATTGAAAGTGAATCAAACCAAGATGACGCTGATTTATCAGAAGAAGCACAATCACAGTCGCAACGAAAACGAAAAACTAAACAAAGCGACTATGATGAACGAGTATTAAAGGCGCTTCAATCTAATGAAGACGACGATACTAATTATTGCTTATCTTTGGTTGCTTTTATGAAAGAGCTGACGTCTGACGAAAAATTAGAAGTGCGTATAAGAATTTTACAAATATTCCAAGATACGAAGAAGAAAAGATTATTGCCAAATACAATGTATAACATTCAGCCTAGCACTTCACAATTTTCTAGAAGCTCCCGTCCGCCTAAGCGGGTTGCCCCGTCAACTTCCATTCGGATTATTGCTGATGAAATTATTCAGCCAAAACCAGTCCAATCCACAAATCAGGCAATTTTTTCACAGCATATGACAGACCTTCAACAGCAATATATCACAGAGCCACAGGAAACAGTACCATCTTTTCTACAGCTTTCAAGTCCGTCTGCGGAAAGTCAAACACCACCTCCGCAATGTTCAACTCCATCTCCACATGATAGTACCATTTCTTCATATTGGGCAAAATTCTCAGAGCAGTCAGATTCAGAACTTATTGATTTGTAAAAGAAAAAAATACTATTAGTCTTTAATTTTGATTAAAAGTACAACATTTTGATTATAAGTAAAACATTTTGAATATAAGTAAAACATTAATATAAAATATATCGATAAATGAGATGTATTTGTAATAAAGTGTATAGGTACCTACCGAAGTGTTAAGCCAACTCTCTCTTGAACAGTGATGGCAAGTCGGAAAGTCGTGTCCTGTTTGATAATTGCTGGCCCGATTTGATGCACAAGTTCATCAAAAGAAGAAATACTCATTCGGTAGAATTTAAAGAACTTTTCTGGGTAACATCTTAGTTTAGAATGCAATGTATGATGTTGCCCATACACTAATCTGTCACTTATTAAAGGATGTACCCAGAATTCTCTCTTTTGTTTTCGTCTTCTCTTTAATATAAGAGCAAGTAGAGCGTTCTTTTTTCTCATTTTCACGCACACGTCACTATACTAGCAACACTGTCACCGACTAAATCAATAGGTCTGCGACTGGCAACCAACTCAATATAGTTGCCTGATTCAATTGTAAAAGTACGCAATTTAATTGTTCGATAGTTGGCCAACCTGAAATTGGAAGTCTGCGGGAGCTCTTGAGTATCCCCAAATTAAAATGTATTGGGCTAAAACGACGAAGGTTAATAGTATTGCTAATTTGATGACACGTGACAGATATTTCCAAATTTGGAGTAACTTGGAAGTAGTAATCGATGCTGATGTTCCGGAAAATGAGAAAAAGGCTGATAAGCTCTTCAAAATTCGTCCTCTGATTTATCGGATTAAAAAAGGTTGCAAATCAATCCCACGATGTCAGGAGGTTGCTATCGACGAACAAATGATTCCTTTCACTGGAATGTGCCACATGAAACAATTTGTTCGTGGCAAGCCTAACCCGGAAGGGTTGAACAATTTTGTTTGTGCTACTCCCAAAGGCTTGGTATTGGACTTCGAAATTTATCAAGGGAAAAATACTTTCCTTGATAACAAAGTTACAAATTTGGTAGTGGGTCCATCTGCCGTTGTTAAATTGAGTGAAACGTTGTTAGAAGGAACACACATTTACGTGGACAGATATTTCACTACCCTACCACTTATCGAGTACATGTTAAATACTAAAAAGACGTTACTGACTGGCACAATAATGAAATCTAGACTGCTAGAAGCAGCTAACTTAACATCCGATACTATGATGGCTCGATTAGGACGTGGTTCCTCCGAACAGGATGTAAGATGTGATAGAAAAATTAACATTGTACAATGGTATGATATGAAGTCAGTCATTTTAGCCTCATCTTCTCTGCAAATAGAACCTTCGGATGACTGCAGACGTTGGTCAAAGAAAGATTCAAAATATCTACACGTACATAGGCCGAACATTGTCAAAAAGTACAATGAGTGCATGGGCGGGATTGATTTAATAGATAGGATGATAAGCTACTATCGAATAGGAGCAAGAAGTAAGAAATGGACAGTTAAATCGATTTTCCATCTATTCGACCTGGCAATTGCAAGCTCCTGGATATTTTATCGAGATGATAGGCAAAAACTTGGGGACAGAAACATCATGAAGTTCCTTGAATTTAAAGTCGCTGTAGCAGACCTTTTATTGAAGAGTGATAAGTCTGAAAACTATTCAACAGGCATTTCAACATTAGCTACTAGGAGCTCTTCAGGTCCTAGACCATTATCCCAAAGTTGTTTTTTACAAAAAAATAAGCCAATCGAACACTTTCCGGCAATAGCCTCCGATTTGAAAACTCCATGAGATGCAAAAATCAAGGTTGTAAACAAAAAACAAAAGTGTTTTGTGAATTTTGCGATGTTTTCCTTTGTCTGACAGGGCACAAGAACTGCTTTAAGGAGTTCCGCTTGAAATAATTTTGTATAGATTACGTACTGTTGTCCATTTAAATGGACAGCATCTTTTTGTGTGAAAATAAAAAAATAAAAATTTGAAAAAAATCATGTGTTGTTTCTATGTAAAAAGTATGACGAATACACATTTTTTTCCAAAAAATAACAAACTGACGAGACTCGGGTCTCAGGAGGATATAAAGTTCAGCATCTTCATCACACATTTTTTAAAGATTTCTCGAATATTAAGTATTATCCATGTATAAGGCCTGGTCGAAAAGTGGGAGACCCAACAGTGACTGACCTGAAAGCTATAAAATATAACTCTGAAGGATTCATTGAGTACAAACTACGGCATAGTGACCAGCAGTGGACCCCGCAGGATTCTAGAGTGAGAAAACGTAACAATATTTTTAGAAATTTCGGAGATTTACCGAGCCTTTACAAACAAAGAAGGAGGATTAAAAAAGAAAAATTCGATCATCTGCAGATCCTCAAGGGTTCGCTTGATAAAGATTATCACGATTACTATGATAACATTTTATATCAGTAAGCTATATTATTTTCAAGTTTTGTTTGTAACTTATAACAATTTATCTGTTCACCATGTGTTAATGTCATGCAACTTGTGTATCTCCTATTTTGTGTCATTTATTAAATAGAAATATGTGAATCTCCAAGAAAAATGTCAAAGCACAAAAAAAATAAAGAACTATGTATTTTATATAAATGTTATGTCTAATCGCCAACAACAAACACAATAATAACTAATTTTTAATAACCGGTGCAGAAACACAATGTCTTATTGGTCTCCTGTAAAATCAGTGTTAGAGGAGATAACGTACACATTTTTCTGGTTTCATCGACGAAATGTGATGTAGATCATACACAATACCATGTCATTGACTAAACATTTTTCAATTTTGTAGACATGGTTTTTGAGCATTCTTTCTGACAAAAAAGGGGCCCATTGGAAATGGTCTTATTGAATGAATTTTGTATATAGTTAGAAGACAGCAAGAGGAAAACGTGACAAAATTTTTAAGTAAATAATTAACTGTATCGCTAGAATCCGCTAATAATGTCTTGTACCAACTTAGTGCCACATACATTCTCGTACAGTTCTCGTAGCGTGCTTCTGATGAGGTACCTCATACCAAACTCAATGCGAACTGTTGCTAATGTTGGTAGAGGATAAGGTCTTCTTCCCATCATACCCCACGGTTGTTCATTTGACGAATGGTGCTAAGAGTTGATGATGATTTGGCTGTTATTGAGGTACCATACTTTAGCTGTACTCTAGAATTACTCCTAGAGTGGCAATGATCTATTCCATATAACTTCCTGGCAGTTGGAGTCTATTGCAACTCTTTGCATACATCTCTGTGAGGTCTTGAGGAAACCTAAAATCAAATGCAATATATCAGTTAAGAATGAAGTCAAGTAGATTGGCTTGGATGGATGTGAAGTTGGCAGACAATATGTTGCATACAATTTGCCGAAGATACCCGAATGATTACTGGGGTCAACATCTTAAAACAGTCTCTGATTGAGAAAAATACAGAGCTGAGGGCCTGCAGCAATAAATACATATTAGCCATAAAGAAATATTCAATGGACAAGGATATGCACACTCATAGGGAGAATCATTTTCCACCCCAACTAAATAATTCGAAAGGTTAAAACCTATCCCAAAATATTTCTTCCAATCAAATCACTTATAGATTATTGTATATTATATGGTATTGAGGTAATTATTGAGCTAAAACGCATATAGTGAGCCGATAAAAAATATAAATTACAGTTCATTTTCACCTTGAAATTTTGTGAATCGAGAATTCGAGTATCTTTGCTAAATTGTTTGCTATATTTTGTCATACAAGTTCACACAACTTTGACTTGTACTGACCACGAATTAGTAAAAATCTCACAGAAACGTAAAGAATTCAACAAACTTTTAAAAACGTTGATAAATATTCCCAAAATAGGTTTGTATTTAAGAAACAATGACAAATGTGTGTTGCAGACACACAGAAGAAACAATAACGTTTGAAAAAAGAATGCATTCAATTTCCAAGTGTTTGGGCACACTAATAATGTTTGATCCTTTTGGAAACACTGTTTTGAGCAAACTCAAAAATTGACAGAAAAAACTGAAGCCTAAAGAGGTTCTCATGATGATTGTTTTTGCCAATGTCACTCAATAATATGTTTAATTTGTGAATAAATATTATTAACTTATGTGATTTGATAGAGCTGATTAATTAAAATTTACTTCAGTGTATTGTCCAAATGCTCAAATATTTGAATAATACAGTAAAAACTTTGTAAATAGTGGAACACAGATGTTTTTGATGGTGACGACTAATTCATTCATTCAATATTATCTTTCTGCTTATTTGCTTCAAAATACTGCTCAGCATGTTCAACTTGACTCTACTGATTGCTGTGTTTGAGGCAAAGAAGAGAATGAAAGTTCAAATGAAACCAAACATGTTTAAAATTCACAGAACAAACTGCATGAAAATTATAATTATTAAGAAAGTATAGGTAAAACAACTTAATATTAATACTGGGTCTTCCAAATGGCTAATTGACTAATCTCACTAGCAAGAAACAATTATATAAGAGCTACAGTTGGAAAGCACATTATGAATAAAAATTATATTCATCCCTCCCTACATGCCTCAGGCTCGGTTAGTAATTGCTTACTTCTCAATTTAAGCACATAATGACATTGTAATTGTTTAGAGATGGAGGATGTAAAACTTACCAATCATTCGCTTGCGGTAGATATTTATATTGGCGAAACTTGACTGATGATCTCTTCAATTGATCGTGTTCCTTTGTGAAGGATGCATGTAGTTAACAAAGGTCTCTAATCTACGTTTAGAACACTAGCCTCGAGAACAACTGCTGTATGACAGCAATGTGTGAATATCACAATATTAAATTCAACATAAATGTACATCGTTTACACTACATGGTAGATTATATGTATGTATATGTTTCGACATTGATCTTTGATTCATTCGAATACAGACATTTATACTGCTAACTAGGTATTTATATAGAATAACTACTTCTTCAGCAAATGGACCATTCAAATATTATGTAAGCATTAAAGAGTGATTTATAAAGTGGGGTTATTTTAGTGATTTCATGTTCAGCCAGCCAATTTGCAGTTACAACTATATTGTTATTTCATTTTACTAATACTTTTACAATATAACATTTGATTTTTAGTATCTCTCTGAAATACCAGTGCTGTATCTATTTCTAATTCCAGTATGCTCCCATTTCCTCAAGGAAGGATTTCAGTATTTTTAGAAGCCAAAAAGGAAAACCCTTTAGCTTATAGATTAGGCCCGCGTGCCACACCTTGTCAAAGGCTTTTGAGAGATCCAAAAGCAAGATGTCAGTACTCATGCTGAGGGTGAATCCTATGGTTATATGTTCCACCAATCCGACAGCCTGTAGCTCAGTACTATGCTCTGATCGAAGACCGAATTGAACGTTAGGAATCACACGGTAATTTGACAGAGAATTCTCAAGGTGACGATAAATCACGTTTTCGTTGAGCTTAGAAGAGGTATGTATATGAGACATTTCTATCCCCCAGGCTACCTCGCTTCAGTTGTCATTCTGTGATTATTCTGAAACACAGTTCTATAGCATATAGCTATGCCTGTAAAATCGATGTTCAGGTTCCTAGGCTGACCGGCTGACCAGCTGACCTAGACATGACTATGCCAGATCCAATACCTATTTCAGTCTTGGATCCACCTGCGTATGCACACATACCTTTTTTTATTAGATCAGTTGCTGTTCCCTCTCATTCCTTTGAGGAATTATCACTGTGTAGGTGCATATCTTGTTATCTTTGACATTATACGAGTATCAGCACAAATTCCCAGACCGTGGTGGTTCTTTATGTCCACCAACATGTCCATCTACCATTATACCATTTGCCACATAATATAGAGTATAGGTTCCTTCTTGTCTTGCCTTCCAAGTATATGTACAAAGAAAGTAGGTTAAGAATCTTGTCTTCTATCTAGTCCCAGTTGATGAAAAAAGCCAGAACATTTGGTTAGGCTTCATTTCCCAGTTCTGCATTAAAGCAACAACTTGCGATAGATAAAACTAAGTGGTTTGAAACAGACTTTGTTTGGGTTGCCACATAAAACAGTATGCTGCACATTTTAATATTCTTGCAATGTTTATTTTTAATTAGAAGTCGAATTATAGTATCGGAATTTCTAGGTCGCTAGTAATTAGAACATGCCTTGTTTTAAATATATTTTGAAACAGATTCCGATATTGCTACCCTTTTTCCAATATGTTTCATGTCCTTGGAAACCATGTATATGTAGCATAAGGCAACGTACAATCCAAATTAATGTGAAGTATATTGGCTAATTAATTTTTAAGCATTGCTCTGATTAGTTTTTGGCTCAACGAACGAATTCTCGAAACCTGACATTCAGTGGTAATGATCAGTCAACAGCAGTTGCAATTTCTTGTTTTCTGAAGTTTAGACACCTTTCAGAAATGCAGTAGGATATGGAAAAGTTCAGAATTCAGCTCATTTCAAAACACTACAATGCTTTTAAGGGCAAGACAACTAAATACAAAAAACTAAGCTTGTGGTTGTTTTGTGCTGTTTTCTCTCTGCTATCTTCGTTGGTCAATCAAAACTGAGTTATGATTTCATTTTCATTCTTTCTCAACTGAACTACCAAAATTAGAGCTAAATCTATTTAAATAATGTACTGTCTACCTTGTTATGTAGGAGAATAAAGACAATCCTCAAACAATCATAACATATGGTTTTAATAATAAGTGAGACAATAGTGAAAAGTGGAAAAGGCATCCACAGTTTCAGAAACTGTGCTGGAGTCCTTATGCACTGTTAATGTTTCCTTCTATTGATACAATAGTTGGATACTGACCACTAGAATTTGAGTTCAACAAAATGCAATTTTGAGTAACATACAAAAGATGAATGAATTCAATCACTGCAGATGAGAATTAACTAAGTGGAATCTTATATTTTATACTCACACATTGCAATTATATTCACTGTTCTTCTCAAAGTTTTTGAAAACGCAACCATAACTTTGAACATAACCCCTCTTCAGAAAGAACAACACAAGTAACTCGTATGGCACAGCTAATAGATATACTTCAAACTTCATTATCAGCATAGTCAGTAATAATGTTCTCAACTTATCAAATATCACTTTGTTATACACAGAAGATAGAATTTCAAAGTTTGAAAATATCAATACATTATGTACTAGAAATAGGCGAATGATCGTTATACCACCTCACTCAACATCAACCTTTAAACGCAGCTTTTCATATAACGCAGCCAAACTATACAATTATTGTCTCCCAAATGATTTTTATGACTTCTCTTTATTGAACTTTAAGAAAAAGCTAAAGAATTTGTATCTGTCTGAAGTGTGAAGGATCCTATATGCTGACTCTGTTTACGCCCACTACTTTTCTACTTGTACTTGTCTCTCTTTCATTCTTGTTCTATTAATTGTTGATACAAAATACTTTTTCGTTACCTTCAAAAATATATTTGCTGATAGGATGATGGTAGCTACACCAGCAACAAAAGACTTTTAATCCTACGTTTCATTGAGGAAGTTATGGTAGTTAAATGGATGAGCTGAAACTCACTACATATTTTTTTATAAAAATCCTTAGACCATATGAGGAGCAGACTTTCAAAAAGCATTAAGTGCAGTTTTTACGAAATTGGCCAAAAGATGGCGATCAAATGTATAGGTTCATCTCCATTTGTCAACCGCTCCTTGGACATCCAAAACGATGTTAAACGATAAATATAACGCCCGTTAATACGTCTAGACTTTCAAAGAGCGTTATTTTTTTCTGCGTTGGACAAACAAATAGACTTTGATAAGCTAGTTAGTGCATGAACGCTTTTTGTTTGTCCAGTATATTTTGGATGAGCAGCAAGTAAACCCTTTTGTTTGGACACGTGTCTCAAGATTGTAATCCTGTCGTAACTTGCTTCAGTTAGCATAGTGATATCGAGTGGGTTAGATCGGTCGGACCACTATTATGGATGAAGAGCATATTGTTGGTGATCAAGACAGAGGCAGTAGAAAAGGAAAATGGGGTGCAACATCACGGCAACGGCAGAAAGAAATACGGTAGATATAGTAAATTATGTTATTTGGGGAATTTTCTCATAGTTTGCGGTTTTATTTCTAGATACGATGACCCTGATCCCAAAAACTTTCATGTAAGGATATTCCTTTCGAAGATCTAAGGCGCTGCCGATAAAAGTTTTATTCACAAAAAGACAAGGTTAAGCAAGATACGAAACTGTCTCATTTAATTGAAATTGGAACTTTTGATCAAAAAATGGAATTTCTTTGTTTTCCAGGTAATCCTCCTTCACCATCAAAGCCTATCTATTTTCGTGGTATTTGATTCACCAAAATCAAGCATTTGCAGCTACGCATGTTGTCACAGCAGTGTTTTCCACTTTCCTCAATTTATGCGGGTCATAGCATAACGCTTTTTGAAAGTCTGCTCCTCATATATGGAAATACCACAATGGACCACGATGTTTTGCCCTGACTAGCACTATGCACTATCCTTCTCGTTTCTCATTCTAGCCGCAATGAGCGTTACGCCTGTTCCATCAGTGTTGACAGTTCATTGGTATTGCTACTCAACCAAACATGCATGCGGCCCGCCTCACGGGTCATGTATACATCACATAATATAGTATATACCTATGAAAACTGAGTAATAATGTTGTATAGAAAGATTTTATAATGCGGTTCTCCAAACTGCATTTTTTTAAGTGGCCCTTGGGCCACATTAAGTTGGACAGCCCTGCTCTAGAGGATCTGAAAAGACGCTTCAGCATCCAATACCTGTTAACAAGACGTCTTAATCAAGATGTGATAGTAAACCTTTTCCGAGTAATTAGGGCAAAAGATGGTCTTCATGACCATACAAGTCCTCTAGAGTTTAAGTATAGAATAAGGTCATATATGTTGGGGCGAAACGAAGGCGCATACTCAGAGTACCTATTGCAGCGTAGAGTCAGAGGATACCTCAGACATTCCACTAACCGCATCATTAAAGAGAATAAACTAAATTCACCTGAAGTATCAGCTGACTATACCGAGCAAGTTTTAGTGGGAGAAATAGATGAGCTCGAGTATGACGGGCTGGAAAATTTGGCCGGCTTTGTTTGCAATAAATTGCAGGATGAGAGGTTGAAAATTTCCTCAAATGAAGCTTATTCATGGATAGACCATCTTAGTGAGGGTGGATTATCAAAACCTTCCGCAACTTTCATGAATCAAATTGAGGAGCTGAACTACATTCAATGGGGACGGAATAACGACAAAAAAGCAAAACTTTATAGGTGAACTTCTTTTGAAGAGCAGCAACATTGACTGCCCTAAAAAAGCTAAAAAGTTGTTTTTCAGGTCATGGATGTTCTTCCGGATCAAAGAAATGAATATAAGTTGTTTATAAGGAAATGGAAAAAAAATGTTGCTTAGACTAAGTCATTTCCTTTTATTGTTATACCCCCACCTTACTGCAAAAAGAAGATAACTCCATTTTCTTACTTTTCGAGTTGCGTACATTTTCACACTTACATGTACTTAGGATGTTCTGTGGAATAAGGATAAATGTAGTACAGTATTAGGACATGAACATGTTAATCCTGCTCCACAGAACATACTAAAATATAGGTCATGTAGAAAAATGTTTTTGCAGTGAAGAGACAATACGCTCTATTGTGGAGCTAGAAGCCGTTTAAGCTATAGCCTGTGAAATAGAAATTACAGGGTTTAAATCTTTTAATAAAATCCACCATTTTGTTTATTATAAAATTTCAATGTAGCTAGTGTCACTCGCACCGCTAAGACGAATCAAACGACACCTCTATGTGAAAATCTATCAAGCCGTTTGATCTGTAGCCTATGAAGTAGAAATTACAAGGTTGAAATCTTTTATTAAAATCCACCATTTTGTTTTTTATAAAATTTCAATGTAGCTAGTGTTATTCGCACCGCTAAGACGAATCCAACGACACCTCATATGTGAAAATCTATCAAGCCGTTTGATCTGTAGCCTGTGACGTAGGAATTACAAGGTTGAAATCTTTTATTAAAATCCACCATTTTGTTTTTTATAAAATTTCAATGTAGCTAGTGTCACTTCCACAGCTGAGACGAATCCAACGACACCTCATATGTGAAAATCTATCAAGCCGTTTGGCCTGGAGCTGAAAATATGCACGTTATCCATATTAACCCAAATGATAATCACTCTCCGCGTGCCGTCATGCGCGCCGGCGGACGAAAAACCGAACAGCGCACTAAATCACTAGATTTTTTATTTATATATTTTTTTATATACAGGGTGTTCCTTAATGATATGCGAATATTTAAGGGTGTAAATCTACATGAAAAATTAATGTTAGTTTGCTTTATAAACTATGGTCCAAAAATGTTTGCTTACAGAAACTCGGGGTGTTGAAGTTTTAGGAAAAAAATGGAAATTAATTAATATTTTCAGAACCGCTTCAGATATTTCACTGATAACTACTAAGTAGTGACAGTTAATTAAGCTGCATATTTTTCCAAGCAAAAATAATCTTTAGCTTTAACAGTGGCGTGCGTACGAGTATTGACTTCGATATTTTTTAAGAAAAAAATGGTACGCCAATGGTTTTTTGCCAAATAAAAATTATTTTTGAATTCCCCGTTCAATTTAAAATAATGATCTCTCCTGAATTGTTTCCTTCGATGCGCCATTTTTGAGTAAAAAATAGAAACCGTTCTATTGTCTAACTAAATTATTATTAATTTAATTGGAAAAATTAAAAACATTAGGGGTAATGAGCAACAACAACTGACAACTTAAACATAGCACTAACACCAATGAAATCATTACAAAAATTGTTGAAAATGGCCAGCTCACTTAGTATGCATGCTTCCGCCCTCCTTCTGATGGAATTGCGCAATCGTTGAAATATCCCTGGAGTGTTTTTTATTCTATCACAAGCTGCAAGTATTCTTTCTCTTAATTTCTCTACAGTGTTAATGGAACTTGTGTACACTAGTATCTTCAGATAGCCCCACAAAAAGAAATCTAAACTGTTGAGGTCTGGGGACCTTGGTGGCCATTCTTTGGGCCCACCGCGCACAATCCAACGATATGGATAAGCAGTTTGTAAATAATTACGAACCGCTACACTGAAATGCGCTGCTGCACCATCATGCATGTACCACATATTGTTTCTTATTATTAACGGAACATCATCAAGCATCAAAGGCAACTGTTGTTGAAGAAAATTGAGGTAAGTCTGTCCCTCAAGTCGTCCCGGCAAGAAGAATGGGCCAATAAAGTGGTTGCCAATAATTCCTGCCTATACGTTAACCGAAAATTGGTCTTGGAAATGGATTTAGGTGACGGCATAGGGATTCTCTTCTGCCCAGAAATGATTATTGTGGAAATTCTGAATGGCATTTCGAGAAAAATTAGCTTCGTCATGAACAGAATCATTGATTCAAATTGCAGATTTTGTGTGTAATTATTTGAAGATACCACTGACAAAAGGTCACACGCCTTGGAAAATCAATGAGAAGTAATGCCTGTACTCTCAAAATATTTAAATATTTAAGGATATAACAAAAGATCCACTAAAATTCTCCAAACAATTTGATGGCAAATATTTAGGTGTCTAACGATCTTCCTCATACTCGTTTCAGGATGTTCTACGACTTCGTGCAGCACTGCTTCCTCAATTTCAGGTGTTCTCACACTTAGAGGTTAACCTTCAGATGTTCCTTTTCGGACAGAACCAGTTTCATGAATATTAGAAAAGGTTCGACTATCTGGCAAAGCACGATCGGGATATATCTGGTGATAAATCCGTCTTGCTTGCTCACCATTACCGTCGACAATGCCATATACGTAATGCATTCCCGCAATTTCTGCACTTGAATAATTCACCATTATTAACAAGATTGTAAAAACTAAATAATGAAAAAGATGTCACAGCGAACAGATTTGAATAACAGAGACTTGTCAGATGTCAAAAGCTAGTGACATATTCCTGAGCAACTAGATATTTATTTCTAAATTGCATTCTTCAATTATCACATTAATTTTCTCGGACAATAGAACGGTTTTTATTTTTTCCTCAAAAATGGCGCATCGAAGGAAACAATTCAAGAGATCATTTGTTTTAAATTGAACGGGGAATTCAAAAATAATTTGTATTTGGCAAAAAACCATTAGCGTTCCATTTTTTTCTTAAAAAAATGTCGAAGTCAATACCCGTACGCACGCAGGCATAATAATACTCCAAGAATCCATTGAAAAACGGGGGGTGAGGATGGGGGTTGTTAGACACGTGTAATATTAACGAAACTTTAAGCTCGTTCACGAGGGGGGATGCGGATCCAGAAGGACATTTTGCTGGACTTCTGGCAAATGTTCTTGTGATATTGTGACAATGGGAAAACGGGGAGGAGGGTCACCGACTATTGAAAATTGAAGACCGGGGAGACAACAATTTTCTGCATATTAACCTTTCCCCAGTGATCTTTTTTTTGGGGGGGTGTGGCTCTCTCTCTCTCTTCTCCTGGTTATGGTACAAAAATTGTAATAATCGTACATCAAGCAACAATGTGTCAGAAGTGTTAGGATGAGATTTCGTTGATATTTTCGGAACACGACACCTTGACATGACATTTGACCATGAACGTCATAAGAACAGAACTTCCACTGGTATCCGTTTCATGTTTCATTAATCTCCACAGAAAACCAAATTTGTCTGACGGCTTATGTTCAATATGTTCGAGAGAGAAGTGTCTATAGACATCTATGCTAGAAAGAGATAGAATCCGCTGGATAGTGAAGTTTATCATCGCATTGCCTATTAACGCTGACGCGGCAATCTGTCTCGTTGCCATTATGTTACACCAGTTCCTTGAATTAAGGTGCATGTTGAAAACATGCGTTAGTTTACTTTCTACGCCCAAATAATGGTTTTATTTTGAGCGTACACGTTTTTTAATTGTGAATTGTGTCGAACCTGTTTAGGATCGATTCCGGATCGGCCTAATGACGCTGGATTTTAGGTCGGAATGAGAGGTCAGCATCGTCATAAATCCGAAAACACTGTATCCTTGGTTCGTTTGATAACACCGGATCTTGTACATTCCAAGGCAAGGTTTCCACCGATATGAGTATAGACGAGCGATTTTGGTCAGTCGCATCTAGCGCACATTGGAGAGTGTCTCCCTGCTTCAAATAGGCCTCCTTCTTGGGTTTGACAGTAACCTAACCTATTGCAGAAGCCTGTGCGAACATTTTCTGGTGTAACAATTTAGCAACGCGGAAGCTTGCACAAGCTTCAGCGTCACCGTTGGTAGGCAATGTGATGATGACCTTCGTGCTTCAACCGGCTTCTATCCCTTTCTAACATTTGTTGACACACTTCTCGCGCTTCTCTCTCGTACACATTGAACTCAAGCCATCAGACAAATTTGGTTTTCTTTGTATACACATATCAGCAAAATAATTCATTACAAATTGGCGTCAGAATTCTTAAAAATTGCCAGATATCGCCAGTTTGCTGGATATTGGGCGCCATTAAAGTAGTCAATCGCCAAGTTATCGATTTGAAGCTTTCAAATCGCCATTTTGGCGAGAAACGCCACGCTTGGCAACCCTGAATTCCGACAGGCAGCATGTGACATGATGCCGGTAATACAGTTATCTCGATTTTGTCTGGAGAGTATGACCTAGGTGTTGCCAGTTCCCCCATAAGACGTTTCATACCCCTGATATGTCAACGTCATCCCGTGAATCACGAGTCGTGATCAACCTGAACCTGTCAATTCCTCAACAACAAAAACAAACTGTCTGGTTATTTACTATTAGTATAAGGAGACCCATGTAGCGAAAACTGTATAAAACTACTAAACAGAAAATGTCTCGCTCTGAAATAATTCCTACACTGACATCCGAACTCGCTAGAGACATCCTTAATAAAACATTGGAAGGACTTCAACGGCCTGAAAACGTGAAGAAACTCGAGGAAGCTAGGGACAATGTAGGTAATGAGATGTTGAAGATGATGCAGTTTCTATTTCCCATCATTATGCAAGTGCAGATGGATGTAATCAAATCCTTTGGGTATCCAGAAGGTCGAGAAGGCATCATAAAGTTCACTCAAATGCTGAGAGGTATTGAGAGGGAGGATCAGGAAATTGCTAGGCTTCATAGTTTAATTAAGGCGTACTATTTACCGCCAGTTAACGTCCATACTGCTAGTGAATCTCCTGCAGATGAAAAAACCAGTAGTAGCTAATTTAAAGACTATGCTTTTTTTAATATAAATACGAAACTTCAAGTATCTACTCACAAGGTAACTAGGAATAGGATACTTATATCCAATGGACCATTTATGGCACTTATGTAGAACATTTAAATCTGAAGACAGTAGATATGGGAGGGTATATATAGCTGCCAGGAGAGGGAAAACCTTTATTAAATATATTTACTGCACCCTTTCATCAAACAGAAAGAGATAAATCGATGAAATATAAAACCACAGATGCTAATGACACAAATTCTCTACCTAGGTACCAAGTGCTAAAATGTTTGTATATCTCCATAATATCAGTACTCACTGCAAAATCATATACCTATTAAATCAACAAGAACACACTGAAAAAACACAAAGTTTTTGAAGTAAATAGGTACCTACTAAAACATAAAATGCCATTTTAATTATAATATGTCTTTTTTACTTGTATTCCTGGCTTGCGATAATGTTGTTTGTTTTACTGTCTATTCCTTATTAGGGTTAGGTACTCTTCTCTTATCATGTATAAAATTCTGTAAAAACCTGATTTTTTACACGCATTGTTTTTGGGCATTTAATTTTTATATCTATATAACACTAGTTTTCTACATAGAGGCCAGAAGTAAATTATCTCAAAATCACATTAATGAGATTTGTCTTTTCTACAAGCAAATCATGTTATCAGTCAAGTGCAGTAGATAGCTTAAGAATAAAAAAAATCAGCTTTACTAGGAGTAAGAAAATAGGTACATTTTTACAAATGTTATTTGACCTTGTTGGAACACTCCAAGTTGTATATATATGTCACTTTACTTATACTTTATTACATATTGACAAATTCTGTTTCAATATACTAGCAATTAATTATTTGAATAATAAATTCTTAACTTATTCTTGTGATAGTTTTAATAATAGTCTCTTATATAATCAACAAGCAATCCATTTTGGTGCCATTCTCTTTTGTGATCTCAATCCAATTAACTTGATAAGCAAAATGAATATTCACATTCAGTAGCAAAAAACAGTTCTAGGTCCAAACCCATCTCAAGACATATCTCACATTTCACCTAATCATTAATACAAAGTGCTGATTCAGGGGGTCATGACATCTCAAATCAAGATTGACCAGAGTGCCATATCACCCCTAGACAGTACCCTAAATCTCCCACTGTAACTTAGTAACCCCCCTCCCCGACTCAATGACGTATCTTGAAATGTGACATTTTGTCGTTTTTTTTGACATTAGGTAGGTTTTTTGTGACATAACATAGGTTTTTCTACAAGATGTTAGCACAAGCTGTTGTACCTTTGTTGTAAACTCGTTTTGTAGCTATATGTGTCGCTTAATCTATGTGCACACTAAAAACTACCTAATCTGGAAGATGACATTTCGTCGTTTTTTTTTGGGTTTTTTACATAATACCCATGCCAGTACGCACTTGCATTCATAGCAACTTCATGTGTTTAAAATGGTAAATAGACTAACTTATGTCAATGTTTTTTGGTAGCTCCTGCGCCTCACTATATCCTATTCGTAGTCCATTTACGCTCCAGCACAACAAAGATGCAGCGCGGCAAAGCGACAGCCGCCTAAGCGTTGCAATATCTATTGGTCATTCGGCCATAAAACTACGAACAAGTACAGGATTCGACAGGATAGAACTCAGGCTCGGTGTATCGCCGACACGCCGACGCCGGCAGTTGCTGTTCATATTCGGTGCATACGTACATAGCGTGTGTTTATACGTTAGCATGTTCAGCATGCTTCCTCTTCAGTGATGTCTCCTCCCCGAAAATGTGACAAGAAGGGACATTCGAATATTCAGGCAAAAGAAATTGTCCATAACGTTTATGAGAGCGAAATTTTAGAGCATCCTGAAATGAAAATCCATGATACTGAAAGACTTGTGGCTAACAAAACAGGCTTATGTCCTAAGACAATTTTCAATATTGTTAAAGAATATAAAAAAAACAAAAAATTGTCTCCACCACACAAAAGCCAAGAGATTATTTTATGGAGATGAAATTATTTAAAATCAATAAAGAAATACCGCGACCAGGGCAGGAAGATTTATTACTTGGATGAAACCTATATAAATGCAGGACACAAAACAAAGTATGGGCTGACTCTACAATTAAATCAGCAAGACAAGCATTCTTAGATGGACTAACCACTTGCCTAAAGAATCCGTCAGGTCCGTGTATCTAACCAATTGGGTTGTAAAAATTGTATCAAGTAGACTGAATGTATGAGCCCACACTGAAAACTTAGATACACTTAACTCAGCTATATCTGGTAGATTTGGAATCAACACCTGTTAGATACTCTGCTTGTCTTATTATAAGTTTTATTGAATACTATATGAAATAATTATTTCCAGGAGAAGGAAAACGATTTGTTATCCAAGGAAGATGGTTTGTGCCCACTGCGCTATGGGCATTTGAGTTAAAGAAAACGACCGACTATTATGCAGAAATGGCCGGGAGTTCATTTGAACAATGGTGTGAAGAAACGCTCCCAAAGCTTGACGACAATGCTGTCATTGTTCTTGATAATGCTGCATACCACACTAGAAAAAATTCCCACAATGTCCACAAGAAAGGCAGAAACTCAACAATGGCTCCTATCAAGGGACATTAGTTTCAATGAAAATACGGTCAAAGCAGAACTTATCCTTCTAGTCAGGCAGCACAAATATAAATATAATCTTAATGTTATTGACAAAATGGCTGAAAACCAAAATAAGACGTCACTGTGAATTAAATCTCATTGAAATAATTTGGGCAAATATAAAAAACTATGAGGCTTCAAACAATAGAACATTCAAATGTTCTGACGTGAAAAATGTTTTATGAAGTTGTCAATAGAGTGACGGCAAACCATTGGAAAGATTGCATCCATCACGTTCAAGAGACAATCGAAACAAAGATGTGATATGATCAAAACATTCAAATTGAACCATTCGGACGATGATTCAAGTACTTCCAGCGAATACAGAATTGTGAAAAGTATGTGCATTCTTTCTATAAAAATAATAATTCATTTTGTTAGATTACTCCAAGACCATTGAGGAAAATTCGCACCTCTACAATCCGGCTTTTGGGCATGGTGCTTTGTCTGGGCGTAAATGGACTACGAATGGGGTATACTTATTTCAACTTTTTTGTTTTGCATGATGTCTAGCTTGTATAATTATTTTAGATAGATATCTTTAATGAAGTGGATGAATTTTCTCGACGAAGATATCTGATAATCTTCAGTTGATACTTAGCTTAAACAGCCTTTGAACTGTTTGAGTCAATTTGATATACAGAGTTCTCAAAAACGCATAATTTACTGTTGCTCAAGACATTCAAAGAGGACCTTCAGAATATGTTCAGATTCACAATTCCCATTATTTCTAGGTTGTCCTTAAATACCTAGTCGTGTATGTTTATATGCAACTTCCCAGCTATATTTATTAAAGTGGTGGAGATAAAACGCAGAAATGTTTCGGCTTGTCTAAATCTGCAGTAAAAAATATGGATATCTATATAAACAACTTTGATCAGCTCAGTAGTGGGAGATAAGCATGAACATTTTTTAAATGTATTTCCACGGAAATACTGCAGAATAATCCTGAATAGTGTTTAGAACAGTTGTTTCTCGCAGCATGAACGCAAAATTGAGCCACTCTGCACACGTGATTCATTTCAATGTTAGTCAACTCACTACTTAGTATGGATGATAAGAATGTAAATAAATATTTAAATTATTAAGATATATCGTATATCCAACAATTGAAACGTATTCTACCTGAAGAGAGCCAACCTAATACTTTGTTTACGCTTCGAAAAAATTATCCGAGATGAAATGAGATGCTGTAGCGTCATCTATGAGAATTTGTAATAGCTATGTTTCTCCTCCCTGCAATAATTATAAATCGAAAATACTGTCTCAAAGATGGCGCTGTGGCCAACTATATTAGCATATAGCTTGTATTTGGCACAGCGCCATCTATGAGCTACTAGTCTTTTCAAAGTAGAGAGAAACATAGCAACGACAAATTCTCCTAGATGACGCTAGGGTGTGTCATCTCATCCCCGATAATTTTTTGGACGCGGGCATATATTATTAGGTGACTATCTTCAGGCACAATACGTTAATCAATTACCGAACACATAATATGCTCGAATAGGGTACGGACTGCCCGACTTGTGAGGTTCTGTATCTCGGAAACTACTCGTGGAAAATCTTTTGTCTTATGGACCTTTTTGTTCTACGTGTTGAGAGCTGTGACATACTGAATTTTTCCCATAAGATTTCTGCGGGGTCTTTTGTCAAATTATTAACTCTGCGATGGGATGTTACCATAACCACCTGTCTATCATTTATTGTTTTCACATAATACAACCCCTGTCTCATTAACCAATTATCAAAACTACGTTTTTTTATGAAATTTGTCATATTGGTGGAAACGTATTAAAAACTAAAATGTAATGAAATGTGATTAACAAAAATCAACGAATCCAAATAGAAGCCAAGCACCACCGCGTTACATTGCCTTTTCGACTACTGCTTTGTTACGTTTTGACATAAAGGATTTTTTCGCGAGTCCACGGTGTAGTACAGTGCACTACCGGGAAGCATTTTAACACTATGGTATAGGATTCGGATTAATTTTATTGGTCAATTTCAATTTATTCAACCAATAACAAGCTGGGTGCCGGAATCACTACCGGAAGGTTAAACAGTGCTGATCATGGGGTCAGAATGTTATCAATTTAAATTGCTTCTACTAATATATCGAGTGCTAAAATCACTACTCGAATGTTGAGGATTGCCGAAATACAGTTCGGAATGTCGCCGATGCGTAAGGAAGTTCTTATCGTTTACGCGGTTTACGTTGGATATTATAACCTCAAAGTTCTAGCGTCATCGTTTTTAATACGTTTCGGGTTGAGCAGAACAATGGAAGGTTGCATTAAAATAAAAAACAATATATACAGTACAGGGGAAGGTTTACAAACGAAGAAGGCGCTATGCAGTGGCTGAGAGATTATCAGCTAGAAAGTCTTACAACTTGGCGATTTAAATGTGGTCTCGCAAATCCGCGTCGCCTTGTATATAGGTAATGTCGGGTTCATGCACGACTTAAACTAACCGAACTTAAGGATCAGCTGTTTCTACACCAGTGTCCTCCACATGTTACGCCTCCAGATAGTAACTAGCTAGTGACTTCCAGTGGTGGTCAAACGTTTAGGTGACGTCACACCCATTTTTTGACATAATTCGGGTGGTTTCGGAACTCGTCTTACCCTTGGATAGCCCTTTCCATACTGTTCTATGCTCGTATTGACGTAATTATAATAATTCTGTGGTGTCCCGTGTTCCACGACGATTTACCCAGAAAGCCAGGCAGTGACTCATCTTTTGTTTTTGTTTGAGTTGTTGACGAATTTGTGGTAGAGATTTGTTTTGGTGTTCATCTTCGGGTGTGTTTTTCTGCCTTTGACTTGTTTTTTGTGCGATTAATTGAGGATGGCCATGCCTAGAGCAAAATAACGAAAAGCCATGGTGGTATCAACTCCTGACCTTGTTGAAGAGGTACCTGCAGAAGTCACCTGAACGCAATCGGACATCGCCAGAGGAGCGCCTAATGATGACGTTGCAGTAAGTATCCAAATCAGTTCATTTTTGCATAAATGACAAATATATTGAGGTTATGGTCGTTTTCTTAATTTCAAGGTCACTTCTTAAATTAAAGTTCAATATATTGAACTTTTCCTTAAGAACCAACCAATCGGATCACTAGCGTTGGTCAGCTGATCGCTACAGCTGGAATTAGAAGATGGCTACGAGCCATCGGTACTGTACAAAAGTCGATAGTCGATATTTATATCGTGATGTTTGATCGATTTTATATCGCTGTATGGGCAGATGGTTCGGTGATACTTGTATGAAAAATTATTTGCGCTTGCTTACGCATGACAGTTTAGAGCTGAACATCGGGGCGGATTGATAAAAAAAATCATGTATGTTAAAAATTATAATAATTAAAGTCAGTGGTCATGTTTTCTTCATAAATTAGATCAAAAAACAGCATGAAAAAATACCAAGATAGAGGATTTTGAAATTATATTCTAGAGAACGAAAAAAAAAAAATGGAAATGATCTTAAAATTTTGTGCTTGTAGTACTGACTTCATAGCTGATAGATGCAAACACTTTCATGTCTGAGACTGTACCAGTGGTAATGTTGGCAAATTATAGCCCCTACAGAAGAAAAAAGAGAATTTAAATCTATACCATGCCCCCCATGACATGTTTTTCCAAAACCTCACAGAACACTGTGAAGGTACTTTGTCATTAACTATAAACCAGGTGTACACCTGACGAATGCTGTGTATTCGCAGCCCACCAAATATGTAATCTCTTTTGACGTTTATTGAGGTAAACAGATTGAGTAGCACGTAACTTTTTTTGTGACATCTGTACTGTTGATAATAACAAACCTGGTAAAGGGCCAAATTAAGGACTGGCATTTGGTATCACCAATGAAAATTTTTTTTTAAACACAGAATTTTGGCAATCAAATGTATACTGCTAGATTGGGAATTTATACATATGTACAGAGCAGTATCATCTGAAGGGGCGTGGTGAGATGACTATGTTTCTGTTTAGTGCTTGCTGACCAAATATGACAGTGATATTATGCTAATAATTTTTTTTTTGTTTCACAGTGTCAAAATCCTTCGAGGAGACAGTTGGAATGAAGATCGTCATTTATTTTATGGATACCAAATTAATTGTCAATGAGAGTTTGTTTCCTAGTTTGAAGAAACAATTACTGTTTTATGTGTTTTTTTTGTTGAGGACAATTTTGTTTGCCTTTACCCATTAAACAGTGTGCGCAAAACTATTTTTGATTCACATATCAGAGTGATTATATTTGTATTCCAGTCAGTCCTCTACCTACAGATGTATTTTTTGTTATTTTAGTATTTATGTTTTTGCAATAAATACACCTGATCAATTAACAAGAGATAGTGCTTGCATGATATTGCACTGATCAGGTTCATAATATAGAGAAAAATCCAGATGAGTAGAATACCTCTATGTATGTACAATTTATTGTAATGAAGAATTTGTTCTATTATTGCTGTGACTGTTCAGTAAATATTTTTTAATTATACATTTTTTTATTATCCTGATATTCATTACTAGTCAAACTGATGAAAGAAATACTCCCTTTATTGAGGATGTGTTATGCATCTATGATCATCGAACTGCCTCAATATCGGTCGTCAGTCAGATTTCATAATGTAAACAAATGAAATCGCCGACACATTCCTGACATTCCTGATATGCGTTGTCGGCATACTTTCAATATTTATAGTTCCACCAGATTTCCAGCCAAGAAAAGTGGCGCTGCCGTCGAGGTTATAGTCCAAGAAATATCTTCACATCTGCTCAGGAAAATATTCGGATTCGGACTTTTTGCATGTTATTCGAAAAAGCCTCCTAGTAAAAAATCTACATGTTGTCAGGCTCCAAATTGCGTCTCTAATTGTTTGAACAACTTTTTCAAATAAATTACAAAAATTAATGTTTTCGCTTCATCAAAGGTAGCATTCGTTTTTTTGATACTCCGAAACAAAATGATGTTTGACAATGTTTGTCAAAAGTTGATTTTGTACGAGATGGGAAAGTACAAAAAATTGATTTTGCGATACCGAAAAACGATCTGAAAAAACGAAAATGTTAATGTCGCCATGCTTCATAAATAACCATTAACGATACCTTTTAGGAGATACTGTTATTATAAATCTTTGTATTTAGTTTATATCCAAGCGGACGCTCAATGCATATTCAGCGTGCACGAGAGATATTTCATCTCTCTCGCGTTCACATAGACATAGACTATACATTGAGCGCGCATTCAAATGCTCTGGGGGTTTTGTTATTGGTTGGTTGAAGCATGTGTTTAATAACAATTTTTGGAGCAATTTTGGGCCTAGTCACATGCAGATTCTTTAAGAGGTCCTTGAATCAGATTATGCAAAAATAGGAATCGGAAGAGTTTTCCGAGCAGATGTTCCCATATTATCTGGACTATTATCCGAGTTCTTTGACCTGCATTGGCGCAAGCGTGTGGGGAGGGGCCACTTGTCAACGTCAAGGCTGGCCCGCCAGTCCACGTGACACATAAGCCACAAAACACTCTTTCATCTGCTACTTTGACGTTAAACATATGATTATTTAAGGGTATTTAACTTTCATGTTGCCTCAACTGCTACGTTGGCAATCCTGGCCGCGCATGCGCATGAAATGCTCATTTTCTTAAGTTAAGTTAGCTTAAATCGTGCATGAACCCACCATATAAGTGTATTGTTATTGTAAAGGATTATTTATTTAATTCTAATCACGACCGTAGCTTTTCTATGTTTGGAGCTTGACTTTTTTGAATGTTTTCGAGCTAGATTGTTCTTGTTTGGGTTAGAACTAATTTTCAGAATACCTACTTCGAAAATTCGAAGGGCATAATATTGTTTAAACGAATGCAAAATATATTTTTATCCGACTTCCCAAAAGATGGAGGTTTTCAATTCGTCAGCTATGTTTCTTTCTATGTGTGTTTACCGATTTTTTCAAGATGGCTTATCCGATTATGATAATTATTTTTTTAAATGAAAAGGTATAAATCTCAGACTAAAAATATAAATAGACAAATAATTCCCTACAAAATATCGTCGTCAACATAACTGTAGTTATCTATCTATTGAAAATGGAATGAGGTATTGGTGTGCACTCCGCCCGAAATGAAGGTGGACTTAAATAAGGTGTGGACGCTCCGGTCGATCGTGGGTCGATCAAACAATTTTAAAAATTTATTTTTTCTTTTCATATTTGTTTATACTCGCAAAAACGGTCACAGAGGTGGCCGACACGCCATAAATTCAATTCAAAACGGATGCAGGTTCATGTTGGGTAATTCATAGCGAACATTACATATAATATTTTGCCCAGTCAGTTGTTTGACTGGATTTGTTCCACCTTGGACGAAACTTGCTCTCATTCGAAAGTAGCACATTTCTACCGACTTTTTGCCGAACGTGGCAACGGTGTTCAACGGCAAGTGGTGGATGCGTACACAAAATTTACAAACATCTGGTTGTTGTTGTGCACAGTGAATCTTTTGCGAGTATTCAAAAATGTTTTCAGGTTGTTTTAGCGGCAATTATAGCATTGTTATCATTGATAGACAATTTTCAAAGTCAATGGGACGTTGGAAGTGCATTCTTTGTGGAGTTAGCAGTGAAAAAACTGAGGCAACCTTCCACAGGTGAGTTAGAGGTTAGAGGAGGACAAGGGCGTAGCGCATGGGGATGCGTTGTGATTTTTAGTATTAAGAAATAGACATTTTATAGTTATTGGTTGTTTTTACACTGTATGTGTGGTGATTTTCAAAAAATACTCTTCTGTTAGACACGTTTTTGATCTTTCAGGTTTCCTAGTGATAAGAAAAAACAAGAAGAATCTCCAATGGGTGAATGAAAAGATGAAAGTTAAACTTGGCGTCCAGACTTTGAGCAAGAGTTTTGCAGAAGCATTGGACTTTTTGAACAAAGATCTGGCTATGGCTGGCTTCAAGGATTCAGAAGCTACAGCATATTTTTGTAGAAGAGTAAACAATTTATTTGATGTTTTTAATTCAAGGAATAGGATGTCAAAAAAACCTTATGAGAAACAGTTGTCACCTGCTACTGAACAATATTTCAATTTCTTAGAAGAAGCGAAGGATTATTTGAAATCGTTAAAATTAGGAGACACTAGAGATACTTTCTAGAAGAAAATTAGGATTTTTGGGATTCATAATTTCAATAAACAGCCTGTATGAATATAGAGTCAAAGAAACCAAAGAGCTGAAGTACCTTCTCACATATAATTTATCTCAAGATCATTTGGAAATTTTCTTCAGTTGTATAAGAAGCAAAGGAGGATACAGCAATAATCCTACCTCGAAGCAGTTTCAGAATATTTTAAAAAAATTATTACTCCATACTGAAATAAGTGGCAATGAAGCATCCAATGTCGTGGCATTAGATAGTACATCCATTTTGCACTGTTCATCATCATCTTTAGAGATCAAAATTAGTGAGGATATGACCTCATCATCAAACAGTATAGAGGAAGATGAAGATTTTATACAATTTAAAAACTTTCTTCAAATAAGTCCTTGGTAGCTTAAACTGTATTTGGAAGATGTTGCATATGTTGCAGGTTTTGTTGTGAAGAGGCTAAAAAAGTCTATACAATGGCAGATTTGTTTAGATTTGTTAGAAACTTCAGGAGAGTCTATATCGAAATTACAAATAAGAAAAACGTATGGAAAATTAGTTAAAGCCTCCGCTTTTGTAATAAATGTGTGTAAATATGAAGAACATTGCTTTAGGTTATATAAGGAAAGGTTAGAAGTTGGCAAAAAAATATGACAAGAGCTTCACAAATATTAACAAATTATACATTGCAAAATTTACCTCTTGGATTCAGAAATGTGTTTAAGGACCGTGTATTCGAAGATGAACCTTTAAGTAATCATTTTCCATTGCTCTGTAAACAAGTTTTAGAACAATATTTTACCATTAAGTTGTACCATTATACCTCTAACTTGAATGCCCCTTCAAAACGTGTACGATCATTACTCACAAAAAGTATATTATTTCAAAATCAATAAAACCTGATAATTATAAAAAAATAAAGAGCAAAATTATAAAATGAATTATAAATAATGACTTAGGGAGAGTGACAAGTCCAAAGGAATTCTTTTACTGAAATATGCACTAAATCTCCAAACATGGATTGACTACTATAAAATAATGTATAAAGCTACCCCCAATGTTGATTTCAGCTTTTTAGATGTTTTACATCCATATCTGGATCAGCATAAATCAATACAAGAACTTTTTGACGCGCTAAATGGCTAAAATGGCTATCAGAGTCTACAGAGTACACTAAATCCCCAAGTATACCGTTATGTATAAAACGATTTATAATCCAACTTAAGCTCCAGAATAAATAGTCTCAAAAACTTCCTAAACAATATTTCATACAGGGTTGACCAAACAGACTATTGTACAATATGTAATACTCGAAAGACCGAATCTTTAGGACATCTCCTCCTGGAATGTCCATTATACAATCCATTGAGAGAGCACATTCTGTCCGATCGTTTGAACCAAATCTGTCTTTGCTTGTCTAAATAAAATGAATGAGTTGAATTTATGATACAAACTTTTTAAATACTTTAGGGAATTATTTAAGCTAAGATCTTTCTTAAGGAATGAATAGTTTTTTTGTGCCTTCAATATCAAGACAGAATATTTAAATTGATGCGTCAATTATTTCTTCTTTTTCTGTTTGTTTATATATTTTTTTATATACAACTTTTGATCATGGTTACTATTTTTTTTTTGTATTCATACTCTGGACAGGAAAGTTTCTACTCAAATCTTATTATTTACATAATACTCTCTTGTTTATATACCTTTGTACTAGGTATTATGAAACAATAAACCTGATAATTAAGTTCCAATAATAAAACCTTGTTTACTTCTCTGTGTTTATTCTTTTCACTGCCATGGAAGGTGATACTGGGTGTATTAACCAGAACACCATTACAAAAAAAGCACCTACGCCACTGGTGGAATCAGCTGTGGTCTGCACATACACAGCTTATTGTTTGTATTTGTTTTGGATTGGGTTTGTTTGTCTTCATGCACTACAGTGCCGTAAGAATGGTAAGTCTATTTATATTTTTAGTCTGAGGTATAAATGCCTCTGGGGTAGTCCTATAGTAATTTGATGAAAAAATATTGACTTCAAAAGAGGAAATCAGGGGATGAAATTATTTTTAAGGCAAATCTGGAGTATTTGTGTGTTAATTTAGTTTTTTGTTGCCTTCATGAGTCACCCGAAATAACGACAATATATCATCCCGAAAACCTTAAGTTAATCCAATTTTAGTTCATATTTTGTACTTCAAGGGTCCTTCTAATACAAGTTTATAGAAAAAAATTAATCCTGGAGGTGGAAAAGTAGGGAATCTGAAAATTGCAACAAAATTTTTTTTTAGTTTATAATTTGCTCATTTAAAATTTAAGGAAAAAATAATCTGTTTATTTTACATACCTTAAAACCTAAATTTTTATTTTATTTTATATCAGGGAAAGTTATACTATCTGATACAGTACAAAATAATTGACTTACGACTTTTTCAGGAAAACTTCTGACAGCAGTCATAAAAGAGTAAAAAAAGAGGAAAACAAGCAAGGTAGATCAAAAAATACAGGGTGCCAGGCCGAGTTATCAATTACGATAAAGTTGACAACTAGTGATACGGTGAAAAAAGACAAATTTGTAAAGGTATACAATTTATAATGTTAATAAAAATTGTAAAATTGTAACATTGTCCTTTTTTAAGAATGGGTATTCGGCGATAATTATAATAAAAGGTGAACACAATCATACTTTGACAACGGCAGAGGCAGTCTCATTTCATCGTCCTAGGGATACTCTTAGATCATGTTTTGAGTCATATTTCAGTGATGGGATGGGCATTAAGGAGTCCGTAAACTTTCACGAATCAAAGCTGGAATTGCAGTACGGTATGGACAGTCCAGAATTAGCAAATGCAAGAATAAATCCGAGATACCGTACAATACAGCACTGGTTCAATCAGTGGCGAATTTCAAATTTAAGACTACGATTTGGACCAGGTTCCATTGAGGTAGGTATTTACTCCATGAACATAACTCTCATAATTTATACCCAAGGGGAACCCTACTGTGTACTGATTGCAACTAAACTGATGCAACGAGCACACCAACTACCCTTTGCAAAAAACATAGCTTTTGTAGACAGTACTGCATCCTGTGATGTTAGTGGACATTCGGTAACATTCATGTTAACTCCGTTGGCGCTGTACCCCTGGCAATTTTGATCACAAAAGGCCAATCTGAAGAAGACTATAGATGTAGGTTCACTTTACTAAAGTCAAGTCTGGAGAATAGCTTTGGAAGTCAGGGTTGTCCAAAAATGTTTATCACTGATGACAGTGACGCTGAGAGAAATGCTCTTAAATATGTCTGGGCAAATAGCAAAACTCTTCTATGTAGATTCCACATTTTGCAATCAGTATGGCGCTGGTTGTTTGACAAAAAAAATAATATAGGTGCAGATGATCGTCCCATCCTTTATTTAGAAATCTTTTAATATCGGAAAGTGTTCAAAATGCTTCTGAAGTATTTTCTATTGCAATTGGACAAAATCATATTTCTGATAATGAAAAAAAAAATAATACTGTGAAAAAATATCCGCAATGGGTGGTGTACATTGAAAAATATTGGGAAAGACGTGAAGATTGGTGTATGGCCTACCGAGATGAAACTACACACGGAAATCAAACAAACAATTTTTGTGAAGTGAGCATTCGACTCTTTAAAGATGTTGTGTTATCTCGGAATAAAGCATATAATACAATTGCTTTAATAGACTTTATAGTGAGTTGCTTGGAAGAGTACTACCAAAAAATAATTCAAAATTTTGCTAATTCAAGGAATTCAATTCCTAGATTGTTATTAAAAAAGCTGATACATAAAGCTTCCAATATTAACAAGGATAATATTTTGTGTACAGGTTCTAAAACTTATAAGGTTCCTAGTGCGACTAAAAGCGGTGAATATTATTATATAGATGGAAACATAGGAGTTTGCACTTGTCATGATGGTAAATTGGTAAAATTTTGCAAGCATCAGGCTGCAATATACTTTTACTTTGATGAAACTGTCATCAACGCACCTGCGGTAACGCCAGAATCTCGTTACGAAATGGCCAAACTAGCATTTGGTGAGTAGGTACAACCTATTTCGTTTTACATGCCGTTAGTGCTCTCTAATACGTTTTCCAAGCACACTGAACAAACTACTGATAATGCGAATTTAGATGAACGAAATGAGTTAATTTCGATCGTAATTGGTGCGTCCACGTCACCTACAAATTTTGTTAACAGTGTGGCTTTAGATGAAAGGAAGGGTATTGAAGAAATTTACTTGCTAATGCAACAGCATAACAAACGATTTGGAACATCAAATGTAACCATTCAAAAGTGTATACAAAGGCTTAGAAATATTAAAACAAGGACATCTTGGGAATCTTTTCTATGTACAGCTGGAAGTTCTGTACCAATTCGTCATCGTACTAAGATGAATATAAAAGTTCAACCTACTTCCATAAGCAGACGTAGAGTAGGGATTGCAAGGGGTTGGAAAAGGTTACCAATTGGTCGGCCACCAAAGGAAGAAGGCGTACCAATAAAAAGAAAAAGAAACTTGACACTCGATGTAAAGTAAAATGTACTGAATGTTAAGTCTCATGGAACAGGTCACTAAAGCCTATTACATTATTTTTTTGTTAATTTTCGAATTTTCTTTTTTATTTTTGAATATTCTTGTTTTTTGAATTTTCTTGTTTATTTTTGAACGGACCAATAAACATTCACATTTAATATGTTTAATTTCTACTACCTTTTCACGAAAAGTGATAATTTCTTCCCTGAAATGATAAATGCTGTACTTGAATGAGAAAATACACTCTGTGTATATATATTAGAATTTAGCTTCTTACATTACATGGGAGAAAAATACCACTTTTCCACCCGCGGATTATTTATACAAAAATCCAAAAAACGTAGGTATATGATTTTTTAGATTTTTACATTTCCTTGCATTATTTTTAAATTCAGTTATTTTCTATAATATATAATTTTAAATTTTTCATGAAATTTTTCTTATTGCTAAACCAAATTATTAATTTTAAAATCATTAAATATCGTAATAGGAAACAACGTGCCTTGATTATTATCTTACGTATTTGTAGCGGAAGGTAAGTAAATTTAAATTTAAATTGATAACATTCTGACCCCATGCTCAGCACTGTTTAACATTCCGGTAGTGATTTCGGCACCCGGCTTGTTATTGGTTGAATAAATTGAAATTGACCAATAAAATTAAGGCTGGTGCCGAATCCTATACCATAGTGTTAAAATGCTACCGGGAACTGACATTTTCGCGAAGAACGGGAATAGGGGAAGACAGATGTGACGTCGTCCGAATGTCAAAAAATCACGTGGTACGGGTACCCGCTAAACGTCTGTGAGGAACTAGCGGGTGACTGGTCTTATATCAATGTCATTTAAAAAACAGGCATCTCAATTGAAAATTTGTCTTCACAGTGCTGAAAATTGAGTTAAATTTTATTAAACCATAAATGGAGGAACACGTCCACCTGATTTTAAATGTTACGATGGAGGTCATCGAAGATATCTGAACCGCACTTGTCATATCAAATGATTGATTTCATTGATATATATATATATATATATATATATATAATTGCGCAACATGCGCCATCTAACCACTCCCGGTGTAACTTGAAACTGTCAAAAACTTCGAGAGGAAGGGGAAATTTCATCTGTTCCCGCTCCGCATGGGTATCGCGTAAAAAACCTATAGAATGTCAAAAAAAAAACATACAAGATGTCATCTTGCAAACTAGGTAGTTTTTAGGGCGCAAACAGTCATTTCACGTTTGCTTACTAGGATCGTTGGGAACGTCCATCTAAGGAGGAATCACTCAACTAAACTAAACGCATATGTTTTGTGAGGCCAAATGACCCTTTTTTGTAGTTTTTATCTCTGAGAAGAAAGTTGGTTGAATATCAAGGTCGCATCTGGATGATTATGTGTATTGGCCTGCATGTTTATAAAATTAGTGATATTTGCTGTGTGAGAAAATCATTACTGAATATGCTGCCAATGAAGTATATTTATTGGCTTTGCCCGACGGGTTATTTTTATGTTGTGCTGCCTGAAGCGAGGTTATGTTCAAAGTTATAAATTACGAAAAACTGAGGAGAATTACGGGAAATCATCACCGCGCACGCGTTGTGTTGAATTACTGTTAGCATGTATATGGCTTGTAATTCGACAGTGTACAGCGAATATAATTGTTTCTTATCTCTCTTATTTTTGAAATTCAACAAATTTGTACATGTAATTTCCAGAATGGATAAGAAAAAGTGGATGGCAACTAATTTCGAGCTTTGAATCTCAATTTAAGTGTATTTGAGACAAGAACTCAATGTAATTATCATCAATACATACAACTTGCAGCTTAGAACTCCAGTAATGCCATCTCAGAAGCAGATTTTACATCACATCAGAGCCAAAGGTTGATAACAAGCCTCATGACGTTTAGGCAACTCGTGCAACTAAGTGCTAAGAGGTATCTTGTGGAAAAAACTAAATAATGTCAAAAAACCAGCATAATGTCAAAAAAAATTGGTATAATGTCACTTTTCAAAATGCGTGATACCCGTGCCGGTTCACTACGGGATCTCGCGAAAAAATCTCTTAAGCGTCAACTAATGTTTTTCAGTCATCTGGTGTCAAACTGTTCCAAATTTCTTGGAGACAGGTTCGCAATTCTGGAACTGTGCTTGCGGGTTGGATGGAAGATTTTTCTTCATGATACGACACAAAGTTTCAATTGGCGATAGATGTAGTCCACTCGACGTCCATTTTAAAACTGAGATATTGTTTTCTAACATCTAATCTCTTACTTTATTAGCGGTACGGCAAGCGGCACCGTCTTGTTGGAAGATACATTCAATATCGTTTGAAGGAATTTGTTCAATTCCACTTGCTGACACGGATCCCCAAATCATAACAGAAGCCGGAAACTTAACTTTTTTTCATTCTGAAACAGTTCTTTAATTTTTATGATACGACTTCTACTATCACCAACGCATACTTCAAATCTGGCGTCATAACTTCAAATAATGGAGTTCCATTGGTTCGGAGACCAGAATTTGTGTTCTTTGGCCCACGCTAGTCTGTTTTTCTTCAGAATCATTGTCAGTAAGGGCTTTTTTTGCTTAGAAATACTGAATTAAAAACGAATAATAAAAAAGTAATTTAAGCCTACCTTGTAAAGGTTAAATCTCAGTTTTTGGGCAGCTCTGTGACAAGTTGCGATTTAAAACTTTTTTTTTACCAAAACCGTTCGATTATCGTGAGGTACCCTGTTATACACACGCATGCGCGGCCTGTCGTGGTTCTAGGAACGTTTCTGGACTGTAAAAGGAAGGTGTTGGAACCACCGACGATATAAAGGGTTGTCCAATAGGGACGCAGGAAAGTAAACGTCAATTTGACATAGACGCCATCTTTGTTTTCTGTCACCGACATGTCATTTTGTTAGTTGAATGTTTACCATTGATCGCTATGGAGTCGTATTCGATTGAAGACCGCATTAAAGTTATTCAAGAGCACTACAAAAATGGTGCAAAAATAAAAAACACGTTTCGCGTGCTTCGTGAACATTTCGGTCGCAACAACCGCCCAAACGAAACAACCATCGGTCATCTGGTGCGTAAATTCGAGGCAACAGGTTCTGTGGCAAATCTGCCAGGCTCTGGCCGGCCAAGGAGCGTTCGCACACCGGAAAATATTGCTGTTGTGAAGGAGAGTGTGAGAGACGATCCGAAACAATCAACAACGCGTCGATCCCAAGAATTGGGCATTTCGAGAACCAGTTTGCTCCGCATTCTCCACAAGGATTTGAATGTACACGCCTACAAGATCCAATTGACGCAAGAGCTGCGTCGGGCCGACCATTTTTCGCGCCGAACGTTCTCAGATTGGCTCCTTGAACACCGCCAAATTGATGCCAATTTTTCATCAAAAATCATGTTCAGCGACGAAGCGCATTTCACTTTCAATGGGACGGTAAACAAGCAAAACTGCCGCATCTGGGCCAACGAAAATCCCCGTGAGTATCAAGAGCAGCCGATGCATCCTCAAAAACTGACTGTGTGGTGTGCATTGTGGTCAAAAGGCATCATCGGACCTTACTTTTTCGAAAATGCGGCCGGGGACGCCGTTACCGTCAATTCTCAGCGATATCACGTGATGATAGATGACTATTTTTTGCCGCAACTTGAAGGAATGGATATGGACGATGTTTATTTCCAACAAGACGGTGCAACATGCCACACAACCAACGTCAATATCCATCGATTGCAGTCCTTCTTCGGTGATCGCGTGATTTCGCGCAGAGGAAATGTGCCATGGCCACCAAGATCGTGCGATTTCACTCCCTTGGACTTCTTTTTATGGGGATATTTGAAAAGCAAAATCTACGTCAACAAACCAGCCACCCTCCAAGAACTCAAAAACAACATCATAGCCAAGATAAATGCCATAGAGCCGACCATGTTGCAAAATGTCATTGAAAATTTCGACCATCGCGTGGACGTCTGTAAATCCAGTCGTGGTGAACATTTGAGCGATATTATTTTTCATACATAAATGGTATAAATGAACCTTCAAAATAAAGTACCCAACTTGATTTGAATATCAATCTTTCTTGTTTTAATATGCGTTTACTTTCCTGCGTCCGTTTTGGACAACCCTTTATATATCGTCGGTGGTTGGAACGGATTCGAAATCGTTTTGTGCCTCGAAATTGACAGGATAGCCAATGTTGCTTGATCTACCAATTTTTTGGGATAGCTATGAAGAGCTTTGGATTTTGTATTTAATTTGCTTATTTAGCGACAATGTTGTTTACACTTGACTCTCTCTTGAAGTATGACCTGGCTTAAATAAATTTAAATCGTAACATTAACTTAACTTATTAGACGATAATTTGGAAATAAAATAAAAATTAAATATTTTGGGTGTAACGTTTTATCAAAATTTGAGATTCCTTCCACCTGCAACAGCATTATTCAAAAATCATGTTCAAAATTTTCTATGCGAATAAACATGCACTAAGTGCTAACGTTACAAGAGAGCTTCATGTGAATCACTGATTTTATATCTGTGGTGCATTACTCTGATATCTTATATTACAGTTGTCTGGACTGTGATAAAGATGCGTTTGCAATAAGTTCTAAATCCCTGATGTAGATATTTGTTTATGGACTAAAAAATATGATCATATATCAGGAACGATGAAATAAAATTGGTTGGCTGACTGTGGAAAGAAAACTGTACTCTACTATGTATATCTTACATTTGTATATGAATTAGTAACGACTTCCACCCTACCATATCCATTTGAAAAACTTACACTTTCTAAAGTTAAGGCAAAGAGATATAACTTGAGCATATCTTGTCACCATTCATAGATTCAACACTATTTCAAAAGAAGATATCTTTTTCTTGAGGATACTGATTTTGATTCTGTGTATTACATTTTTCTGAATTCTTGTGTAGTGTACATTTTGAATATACAAATTCCTTTTGGCTAAATTTCGCCCTTCATAAAGCCGGTATATTACTTTTATTATTGTATGAAGCCGCAAATATGTAGGTACATTCACTCCAACAAACCACGGAACTGGTGTTCGTCGATTTGGCAACATTGCTGTTAGCTGTCAGAATCATCTAACCTAACCGCCATTTGCCGTTTGTTTTGGTTTATAGCTTTATAGCTCTTCTGTGCCTGTGCCTGTGCATGTCAGTTCCTTTAGTTCTCGCTTCAGTGCAAATACCGATATCACTATAACAAAACCGTCTCAATCGATCCCAAAACGGGTTGGAACACAATGCAGAACCGTTCTGTTACTGTGACGGACAAGGTTCAAGGTTGGAACACTTTTTCCTAAATGCGCAAGCGCGTCACCGTTCCAGCACGGTTCTACGACGGGTTGTGCAAAGCTTATATTTTAATTTCGTTAATATACAGGGTGGCGCATCGAAAACGAAACACGCATTTACTGGCAGCTCAGTTTTTTTTTAAAAACGCACAGACCCGTCGATTTTGTTTTCGATTGGGATACAAGTTTGGCAAAAAATCAGTTAGCACGTGTAGCCCCCCTAAGCGAGGGTGACACCGCCCCCAAAATCTTAAATGGAAAGGGGGGTCGAGTGATACCTTATTTTAAAGGTCTTTCAGTTCCCTTTATAATGATGTAAAATACATTCACTCACAGTAGTTTTGAAGATTTATTGATTTAAAGCTTAAACAAAACTAATACATCATCATTAGTGCAGCAAAGTAATTTAAAAATGAAGAATGAACTGACCCGTTAGGCAAGTAAATGTTGAAAATGGTCACCATGACTCTCCATGCAATAATAAAGATTTTGCTCAAAACGTTGCCGCACATTTTGCAATATTTGAGGAGTAATTTGAAGGCACTCATTCACAATTCTTTGTCGCAGGTCTTCTAATGATGTTGGCTGAGTAGCATAGATTTTGCTTTTTAAATGACCCCAAATAAAGAAATCCAAAGGTGAAATATCTGGCGATCTTGGGGGCCATTCAATGGAACCTCTTCTACCAATCCATCGATATGGAAACGTCTGATCTAAATATTGTCGAACACGTAATGCGTAATGTGGTGGGGCACCATACTGTTTGAACATCAACCTATTCGCAATATACCGCCGATCATTCTGATTTTCAATTATGGCTGTTAATGCAGGACCTATGGCGTCTTCCAGTAATTCCAAATACATTTCACCGGTCAAATTTCCAGGTAAGAAAAAAGGACCAAATAAATGATCGCCAAAAATACCAGCCCAAACATTTAATTTTTGTGGCTGCTGTATATGAACCTCATGATAAATTCTGGGATTAGAATCGGACCAATATCGGCAGTTATGACGATTTACTACGCCATTTAAGAAAAAGGAACATTCGTCATAAAAGCAAATGTTTGAATAGAAAATGTTCATCGTTTATAATTCGTTCACTCATATCTTCACAAAATTGTAATCGCTGATCAAAATCGTCTTCATTAAGTTCTTGTACCAGGTGAATTTTATACGGATGAAAACTATGGGCCTTTAGAATCCATTGGTCAGTACGTCGACTAAACCCACACACAGTCTCCAATTTGCGGGTACTTAACGTAGGATCTAGATAAACTTGCCCTAAAACCCCCACTTCTGTTGCTTCGTTCCTTATGGGATTTTAAATGTTGCGTTTTTTATTGGCGACTGACCCAGTTTCCCGAAATTTAGCTACAAGTTCTAGAACATGTTTTCGATGCACGTTACTGTTCTCATGTCGCTCATTAAATATTTCTGCTGTTCTATTAGCGCACTGATTATTTCCGAAAAATATTTCGATAATTTCAACTCTTTCTGCTGTGGAATATACCATGGTTAATTTATGTAATAAAGCGTTACAAGTTATTTTAGCAACAAAGTTTGGTCAAATCAATCGCAAACTATGAACTAAATTCTTATTTTAAATAAGTAGGAGATATTTCCTTATCTTTATTCAAGAAATAACTTTTTTGCCACAAAAAAAAAAACGCTCCAATAGATATTTTCAACAACAAAATGATAAACAAACCATGTGCGCAGTGAAGAAAAGCATTTACTTATTAAGCAAATTCTTTTAGTCAAATTTCTTCTGAAAGTAGTACAAACTAATATGATGTACCTATTAAAGTCTAAGCTTTTAATCAATAAATCTTCAAAACTACTGCACTGAAGCTCATGTATTTTACATCATTATAAAGGGAATTGAAAGACCTTTAAAATAAGGTATCACTCGACCCCCCTTTCCATTTAAGATTTTAGGGTTGGTGTCACCCCAGCCCAGGGGGCTGCACGTGTTAACGTGATTTTTTGCCAAACTTGTGTCCCCTCGAAAACAAAATCGACGGGTCTGAGAGTTTCTCCAAAAAAAAAAAACTGAGCTGCCAGTAAATGCGTCTGTTTCGTTTTCGATGCGCCACCCTGTCTAATATAATACTAATAACTAGCATGCCGATTTTACGTGATAATCCGTTTTAAGGCTCTTAAGTTGGTATTGGAATAACAATGGCGACTTCCAGTTCTGAGCCACAGATCCCGTTGTTTTGTACAATTTAATAATATTTCGAACTGTAAACCTCGATTTGTTAACACCGTCTGTGAATGGGAACTTAACACTGACAGCGAATGGGAAGCATTTTGGCTTTTTAAATGTAAGTGAATGATCACGTTTCTAATTTCGGCAGAAACAGCTTTACCACGAGCCATTTTTTATTGTTAACAACACCAATGTCGCACCAATGCATTGAAAGTTGATTTAAACGTCAAAAATCAGCTTCACCATCGTAAAATGTTATCATTTGCTTTACAAAGCCTGCCTTTATTTTATCGAATTAATTAATGAACAGTCAGACATTCAACTTAAGTTGTTTCCATGATGTATTTTGCTATACATAAATGATTTTGCTATACACCATTTTGCAAAGAAGACAATTTCGAAATAAAAATCGCTAAAAATAGCTGCGTGGGTTTTGTTATCTTTCCATAAACATTTAAAGAAACCAAAAATATTATATTTGAAATAAAATTTTAATTAGCCCTCAAATAAATTCACAAATATCATGTTTTTGGGATTTGGGCCAACTTCACTGAGACAGGGCTCGTATATTATATCTACACACCTCTAAATTAATAAATAAATATTTATAAGCTAAAAACCCGTACCCTCACATAATCGTTTATATCTGTTATTCATTTTTTTTTAATATCGATATCACACTTTCTGAGTGATTTACTATTACACCTATACTTCAAATGTATGTAACATACGCACTATCGATTTACATCAATATTCAATCGCCTATAAAAACACAGGTATGAAGCAGTGATTGTTAGTCTCTCGAGGTAACATCGGAAAACGTGTGAAATTATTTGATCAAGTAATGTACACATCAGCTAGATGCCATCAAATAAATATTTATACACCTATTTTGTTATGAGATGCGTTTTGGGTATCAAAATGCACTTATTACATAGACTAGTGATTGATAAACTTTGCCTAAAACTAATGATCCTTAAGTCTCAAACTCTGAAATAGTATTCTTTCAGTGATAGAAATATAGTGTTACCAACGGTGAGTAGCCTAACATTTTTTTCTGAAACTGCTTTCGTTGCGGCGTTTAAATGAATTTTGACAAAAGTTGAGATGTTCAGTTACAGTTTCTCAGACCTCAAGTGTCTTATAATTATCTGTATAAGATATGTAGATGTAGTAGGTCCAACCTTCTTAAGGCTCTCTGCTAAGATATTCCATCCATTACACTGCACCTGAGCAAACTTTAAGTTTTTGAAAATGGCAATGCAGAGGTAATGTCAAAAACCATTTGAGAGACTAGAACAACTGGTAGAAAATGGGCATAGTTCTATGAATTACCTTTCGAGGAAGTACATATACTCGTATCTTTGAGCATCGATAGTAGCCTTCGGATATCAGCCTCTAAAGACGAGGTTCACTCATTGTTAGTGATGAAACATTCAATTATAAGAAAAGCCGATTAGTTTGCTGAAAATTAACCAATTCACTTTCTTTTGGTAATTTTACTCCTCCAGTCCAAGGACTCACCCTCTTATGGGGTGGAGGGGGCGTTATTCTTAAGTAAGATGGAGAATGACTCCAGATTATACATTTTCAAATGTATCCATATTCATATAAGATTGATGGACACAACGGCCAGACTTCCTCACTTTTTATTGAGAATGATATGAACCAGGGAGCGAGTCTTCTATCAGTGGTAAAGATCATACAGTTCAGTCAGATTGTTGAAGAATAAAGTTTTCCGAAAGGTAATATAATTTAACTAACTACATTTAAAAAAAACGCACCTGATTATTTTTCTAGAGACAGAAAGTCCCTTCTCATTTTGCGCCTGTTAAGAACCCAAAAGCCTGCCGTTTCGATAGGAGATCCGATAATGTGACAAATTTGATATATGGCGAGTAAGATTTCTCAAGATTTTTTTTGTGCATATCTGTTAAAAACTGAAATAATTCTATTATTCATTTAATTTAAATCTTCCAGGTGATATACAAAACTCTAAAATATATTTGAATTACCATTTAAAACTTATCAAAAGCATCACATCCATGTCGTGTGCAAGGTCCACTTAATACAATAGAACACACAAAAAAATAAATGTTTCCTAAATTATGAAACCAATTTACATTATTTTACTATTACCTATACAGGGTGACTTTGAAGTTGAGTCATTAATTTTCAGATAATGATTGTAGAAGGAAGATAAACCAAAATATGTGTGTAAAAATAAAAAAAAATTTTACCTTGTTTTATAAAGTATCCTCCCGACAAGTATTTCCGTGCCGACCTGTATTTGATCGTGAGGTCTTGGAGCACCGGCATGCCGTCCCCTGTGAGGTCTTAAGTCACCTGATTCACGAGCCCGTTGTACTACATTAACAAAGGCACGATGGGTTGGTTGCACTCGATTGGGAAACCGATCCGCATAAACATGTGCCATTTTTTATTTCGTTTGAGCCACGCAACAGACACCGCTATTCACTCACGCGTTACTGACTGACACTGACTGTATACAACTGAATAAAATAATTGTAAAAACATCGTTCCAAATTCTTTCGCTTTTTTGTTTCCGATGCGATGAACCGATAAGGCGGATTATATCCGTTGTTGCCAAACACGAGCACATAATATTATTATTGAGACAGGGCGGTACTCAAACTTCCAAAGGGCTATAACTTTGTTACTTTAATTTTACCAGAAAAATGGTAAAGGAAAAAACATTTCTTTTGATCAGATCTACTCACTGTTAAAATAAATGACTCAACTTCGAAGTGGAATTAATTTCCTATAGAATATAAAATAACTAACACTAAACGAAACAAAAAAGTATTTTTAACTAAGTAACTTTTGTGCATCGGGAAATTGACATCGATACACATTTAGAGCGCAGCCATAATTTATTAAACCGGTGAATGCAGTTTATATACGATAATAGACAATGATACTGACCTAAAAGGTAAGATTTTTAAAAAATCGGCATTCTAATTCGGCCACTTTTATGGATTACTTATCTTAAAGTGTATAATGTAAAGTGGTGAGCAATTATAACTCTTTTCTAAGTATTTCATTGTACTTTATGAAACAGTAAGTGATGTTACAAAAATATGGAATGAATGTTTAAAATGTCTTCTCCATAGGTGTCACTTACGTGGACTTCAATTGTCCGCGGAGGTGACATTTACCCATGGAAGTGGCAATATTTACGAATTTTGATGATGCTATTCATTCGAGGTAGAAGGCAATTATGGCACACAAAAAAAGTCAAGAATAAATTTGTCGTGAGAAAAAAGCATGCGAGATGCGACGTCGGGAAAAATAAAGGCGAACCCAGGATTGCACGAACAAGCGAAAGCTAAAGGAAGATAATGTTACAGAAACAGCAAATGTCAGCAAGAAAACAAAGGAATCAGCGAAAGGAATGGCGAAAGAGACAGAAAATATGCAGAGAAAACAGAAAATGTAAGGAACGATTATTATCACGCCTGTGCGAAGATTCCTCGCTTTGAAGTGATTCTGAAAATCGACTGCTCGCTATCCCAGTTCGAACTCCTTGTAGTTCAAGTTCACATGCTCACAGTATCGTACCAAAAGAAGACTGGATTGAAGGCTACAAAACGAAATAGATACTTCATACGAAAGAAACTTGAACAACAGGAAAAGCTGATAGCAAATCTGAAGTGAGTAGGAAAAAGATACTACCAACATCTTATAAGCAAACGGAAAATATTTGTGAAAAGCGAAATATATTTGGATGTTTGAAAACAATATGAGACAGATAGGTTGCAGTTATACATTTATTTAAATTGATGAAAATACTCGACTGTGCTGGAAAAAAAGATGTTATTACGCGAAATAAGATTAAAAAGCATTAAATGATTCAATTGGAAATCTTTTCAAAAAGTTTCTGTATTATTACGAGTATATACTCGGTGACATTAGAAGTCTTACACCAAGAAAAAATAATTTATTCACCTTGTTTTTTTGGCAACATAATGACTATATTTAAAGCATGCTGTGGCAACATTGTCAACGTTTTATCTTGGTTTTTGCTTACCTTTGTTAAAATATTATCTCTTAGTTTTTGTGAAGTAAGCAGTTTCTCAGAGATGAGTAGTACAGATATTTTTAGTTATTGCCCTTCTATTTACTAGTGTTAAGCATAACCAAATGCCTCGAGTTCGAAGAGGTTTAAATTATAACCATATTAGCGACTTTGGTAGGGCTAGAATTATTGAATATCGCGATGTTGGTTTTTTCCTATCGCCATAATGACCGCCGTATTAATTGTACTACCATAACGGTAACGCGGATAGAAGAAGGTAGAGGAACACGAAGAAGGCCAGCTGGTCCACCGAGGCGTACCACACAGCGTCAAGATAGGCGCTTCAGACAACTAGCCCCACGAGACCGTTTTGATACTACGCGTCAGATCGTTGACTCATGGTTTGTACAGTAAGGTAGACCTGTTAATATGCGGACACTGTATCGCCGCATTCGAGCGTTTGGACTTTTTTCATACTGTCCACGATTAGTGCTTCTTCTGACTGCGGACCACTGTCGTCAACGTTTGAACTGGAGCAGAGAACGGCAACATTGGCGACGAATCGCGATTCTGTCTAGGTACGCACGATGGTCGTAGACTGAAGGGGAATAAGCCGCCGTGGAGAACAGCGTGGTATTGGATTCGCTGTTGAGAGGCATGTACACAGGACTGTTGGAGTAACGGTTTGGGGGACTATTGCTCATGGTAGCCCCTTCTCTTCGTTCAAGGCAATATCGCTGCTGGGTGTTATGTTGATGATGTCCTGCAAACCACTTTACTGCCGTATCTGGAGTTCCGTCCACACGTCCTTTTTCAGCAAGACCACGCACGTTTCCATATTGCTCATCGTACTAGGGACTTCAAGAAGCAGGCGTTCATGTTTTCCTGTGTCCACCCCATTCACCGGATTTAAATCCCATAGAACATGTGTGCGATATGATGGGGCGGAGACTATCCACTTTGCATCATTCGCCACAGACTCTGCCACAGCTAGTCCATGAAGTTCGAGTATACGTGTATATTTGTATTTATTGATTATTGAAAGACTTCTAGTTTTGTAGTATGAAAATTGTAATTTGTTCCTATGTTTGATCACTTTATGAATGTTTTCCTTTCATCTCAAGCAAAAAATTGTTATTTGCTAAGAGTAAAGTCATTAAGTATAATAAGGATTATAAGAACTGATAAGAAAACATGACTGAACTTTGTGTTCCTATAAAAACATTTTTTATTATCATTACATAAATAAATATAAATGAATAAAAAAATATTTTATTCTACAGAAACCGCGGACATTCCACTGAAATTATAATTATTGTCACATCCATTAATTGTATATCACTTCCGTGGATAGACATTTTTTTTCCTAATTTTCATGAAAACTGCAACAAAAATAGCTCGGCTCATATCTGGAGTATATCAAAGGACATTGTAGCTTTCAATTGAGATTACTTTGAACCAAGTCAAATAACCCTCTATTTTTTATAGACTTCTTAGTCCGTTTTTGAGAATGGCCCATGTATGACACATGAAATTCGTGAAAACTATATTCGTCGTCCGTGATAGTGGAACGATAGCTCTCAGATACATTTTTATCTGAGAGCTATATATAAAAGTATCGTCGGTCTTTTTAGACCAACGTTTGAAGAGAAAAAGGAAGAAAACAAGAAAAGGGGGTAATAGAAAAAAGAGAAGAAACGAATCAGTTAAAGTGGAAATTTCTTAAGCATTGTTGATTTGACGAATCGTATAATTTTGTTATTTCAAAAATAATGTTGATCAAGGTTTTTTAAGCAACTAATTTTGGTTGCCCAATTTATTATGATTCGATTTTGATCATAGTGTGAGGCGCGGCCTGGTCAGCTTGCGAACTTGCTAAACCGTATAGTCTAGTGAGTCGCGTATCAGAGAATTGCTGTGCTATTCGTCCTGTAGGAGTACACAGTCCTCTAGATAAGGAAATTGAAGATCTCTGTTATCTGTATACAAAAGATTA